TTAAAAAGATTAAAAAAGATTAAAAAATTAAAAAGTATTAAAAATTAATATATATATATATATATTATAAATTATAATAAAACTAATTTAAATTATTTTAATAATAATAATAATAAGTTATTATTTACTATAATTATAAAAAGTTTTTTATAATAATTACTTTTAAATATAATACTAAGTATAACCTAGCTTATAATAGTAATAACTATTATAGTATAGTATTTAGGACTTAGTATATATAAGTATTAAAAAATAAATACTGAATAAGACTTATTTATATAGATAAAAAGTCGGTCTAGCTTGTAGATTTTACTAGGGACGCGGTTACGCCGAATCAAGACTAGGTTATTACACCACAACTTGTTAGTATGTTTTTAACAATACCTGTTAATAAGGCGAGATCACACTTGAAGAGGCTAATGCCGAGCGTTAGCGTTTAATGGTGGGGAGCATCATCCCAAGAGAAATCTCTAACTGCTGATTGAAAAGGTCTGGAGACTCATTATGGGCAGCATGCGACCTTGTCTGTTGTTCTGATGTAGCACAAAGCTCCCCTCAGGCCCTAACCTAACGCTCACCCACACCGGCCAAATTTCAGCCTGGCATGGCAGCGTTGAAATCTTCCAACACAAGATCTTGTTGGTTGTGTTACCTTTGTCCAATTCCCGTTTGTCCTTTACGACCGATATTCGTTACTTTGTAGAGCAATCGGTCTGCCCCTGAGATCTTGACGAGATTCGTGTCCCTCTGTCTTGCGCGTTTACTTGCCAAACCCACTCCGCATCCAGAGCCGAACAACGCTCAAAACATATGAAGACTCTCAAATGGCCGCATTTGCTTCGACTATTTAACAGGATAACTCTCGCCAAAACCGCAATGGCGCCGTTCAATGTGCTCACCGCTACCGTGACTGACATTGAAGAACTGCTGAACGACGGCACGCTCACTAGCGAAGTCGTGGTGACGGAATACTTGAAGCAAATTGACCGCTGCAATGGATACCTCCATGCCGTCCTTGCTGTTGCACCGAAGGAACTGCTGATCGAGAGAGCTCGCTTTCTAGACCACGAGAGGGCTGCTGGTCGGGTGTTGGGCCCTCTTCATGGCATTCCCTTACTCATCAAGGTTCAAAACTCTTGCTTCTGCTGCGCCGACATCGCTTACTTGTAGATAGGATAACATCGCCACCCACCCCGACCTTGGAATGGACACCACAGCAGGAACGCTTGCCTTGGTGGGCGCAAGGGTTCCAGAAAGCGCCCCATGTGTTGCGCAGGTATGAAGTAAAAAAATTGGCCTCTGGGTCGTCGATGAAGCTGACTATAGAAAGTTGCAAGCAGCTGGGGCTATTATCCTTGCCAAGGCAAACTTGAGTGTAAATCTGCCCTTTGCCGTCCTGTTTGCTTGCTCATGACTAATGCTAGAAAGGAATTGAGCAACTTCAGGTATAGAACACCGTTATTTTAGTCCCCACACGGGCATCTTACTGACATCTTTCTAGAGGCTTGCATATGCCAACTGGCTGGTCGGCCGTTGGTGGGCTGACGCAGTCCCCCTACGTCATCGGAGGTAAACGATGGGATGATGGCTTCGGGGGCCATAGTGTATGTTTCTGCTACATCTCCGCGCCAATCTCGGCACTCTCTTTCTAACTCATTCGAAAGGCAGTAGGTGGCTCGTCGTCAGGATCTTGCGCTGGGGTGGCTGCTGGATTTGCCCCCGCAGCCCTAGGTACAGACACCAATGGGTCGATTCTGATGCCTGCGACTCGACATGATGTCTATGCCATGAAACCAACTCTCGGTCTTATTTCTCAAGACGGCATCTGTCCCATATCTTTCGACTTTGACTCTGCTGGCCCAATCGCTCGGTCAGCGCGAGACATTGCCATTCTCATGGATGTACTTGTCGACCGTACGCAAACCACGAACATTTCTGACAGGACCTACATGTCGCATCTGACCGGAACCTTTGACGGAATACGAATTGGAGTGCTGGAGCCTAAAGAATGGCACATGCCCGCCGTTGCGGTGACGCCGAACACGGAAGTAGATGAACAGCAGGTACGTACAGTTCCCCTCGAGATAGCTTACCGATACTTTATATCAACCACTAAACGAATATGGCAGGACGCGGATGTTGCAGCAGCATACGAACGTCTAAAGTCTCTGGGTGCCATTGTGAAGCCAGTCAAGGTAGCTTCGCTGGATGAGCTAGTTGTGGACGGCATGAGCCAGATTCAGAGAGTCATGGGTGAGTTCTACCAGCCGAACGAGGAAGCATACTTTTGCTTACTAATTTAAACTTTTGCTCAAAAGATTCCCGGTTCAGGCACGCAATTGAGTCATACCTCTCGAAATTAGAGGGAAGCAAGGTCCAAACCCTGGACGAGCTCATGCAGTTCATGCGCGACAACGCGAAGCAGGAAATGCCCCCTGGTGAGGTTCTTCCCCCGAACTTGACTAAGAGAACCTTTTCTGACAATTCTTAGAGTCTCCCAACATGACACGTCTGGAAATGGCAGCTGCATTCAACATTACTGAAGACGAGTACCAGGATGCTCTCGCCGACATGAGAGATTTCGGCAGGAGGCGGGCAGTTGATAAATGCCTGCAAGACTATGATGTGGACATTATCCTTGGGCCAGGAGATAGCAGGATTAATGAGCTCTATGCAACCGCAGGTTTACCGATGGCAGTGGTGCCTCTTTCGTACGCGAGCTTCAACGGAAGACCGCTCGGGCTGTGTGCTGTGTCCACCGCAAACCAAGAGGGCCTACTCATCGAGTTCATGAGCGCCTGGCAATCGCATTTCAACACTGAGAGGCAGCTTCCTACATGGATCGGAGGTGATCCCAACGGCGTCGCCAAGAACGAGCTGTAGCATTTCTTGGCGAGGTGTCAATTCAGGCATTGGCCAAGCACACAGGAGAGTGACGGTCACTAAGGAAGTGGGAACAGGGCAGCAAAGGAAACGACTAAATTTGCACGTTTATGTCATGTTAGAGGCTTCCTAATTTTGCGTTTCTCAATTTTGTGCCTGTCATGTAATCTCGTGCTTGTCTCGTGCTTTTCAATCCCGTTTCTCAGCCGTGTGCTCTTCATTCCATAGCATCAAAAGCTGTGCAAATTTGTGGGATATTGGATAAATGTGTTTTCTGAGCTTTCTGAAAATTTCTTTAGTAAATAAACCTCCCCGTCCGACAATCTAGCTGGTCCGGAGATCATGCAGGGGTGGTGTAGCTGCATAGATTCAGGGCACAGGAAGCTTGCTTCAACGATGTGAAAGATAACGTCTCTTCACCAAGTAGTCCAAATCTCCCAGCTAGCATATTTCTATGCCTTTTCATAGTATATCGTCCCTGTATTTTGTTTCTTTTTTTTTGTTACCTATTCTAGTTTTAACCCCGACTCTGCTGACTAAGTGAGCTGCACGCGCCATAGCTACCCCTAATTGTCCTCTGGTGCGACGAGAACAATAACAACGCAGACCGCAAACTGCTTCAGTTTTCATCATGATCAGTGGTCCCGCCCTTATCGCATCCCGATCATCATAGTAGAGACACCCCCGATTTCAACACAAGCTTGTCTCGCGTGCTCGTTGCCTTTCTCTCGCCATCACGAACAACGGCGTGCGACTTTGCCCCTTGCTACCATGGCTGCTGAGCCAGCTACCATAGACACTCCGGCCGCAAAGCGAGATGTGAGTGTTAGTGCCGGCGGAATGACAATCTCCGACGCTACGGCAACAGAACCAGGTACCATAGACACCTCTTCCGCGGGACGAGATGCGAACCCCGCAGGCAGTTGCCTGACAATGTCCGGCAGTAGACCAACTACCCAGTCCCGTGTATGCTCCCCTGACATAGTCAAGCCGCGGCCACCTCTTAATACCCGGACGCTTTTCGTGAAGCTCTATGAGGTATTCGTTCAACAACAATGCGGGCACGATATTGAACTACTTTGCCATGTTGAGCGAGATGGGTGGAATAGCAACAGCACTCCGCCATCATCCTTCTGGCTAACCAATCCGGCGGCTTCGCCGTCTGCGATGAACCGCGGTCGAGTCTCGACGGAAAGAGACTCTTCAGTCCTGCCCGAAACGCCATCATCGCCGTGTGCCGAAGGCATGGCGACTTCAAAGCGAAAGATAGATTGGGACTGCGACGAGTATATGACGATGAGTACTATGGCTCAGTTCCCGATGAAGAGACAGCAACGTTGGCTCTATGACTGAGGTGAAAGGGACTGGCACAAAACTCGGGTCGATAGATTGGCGTCACCAAAATGGAAACATACGGTTCGCATCACTATTATACGCACGAAGCTTTATCGATCGCCACCCGAAAGTAAAGACATCATCTTTGCAACCATGTTCATCAAACCTTTCATTGCACAACCCCTAAAAAATGAATTATAAAGAGAACCGCCATCCTCTTCCTGCATTGCCCCCTTCTTGCAGCTGATGCTCGCTATCATCCTTGCGATCCAACTTCTTGTTCAGCCACAAATACTGAGCATTAGACGCGACTGCGGACACCAGTCCAATCGAGGCCAAGGTGAGGATGACTGTGAAGCCGGTCCTATAGAGCGGAGCATCGTGTGCCTGGAAGACTTGTGCACCAGCAAGACCGGCCGTGTTCACAGTCATGATGAGTACTGCCATGGTGATGGAGCGCTGCGCCGGGTTGCGAATGTTGACGGCAAGCCAGGAGCCGTTGAGAGGGTGTATAATAGATCCCCACATGGAAGAGCAAATAAGAATTCCGTACTTGAGATCGCGATTAGTGCTCGTGGCGAGTTGTCTAGTGGCAAGCTAGGTAGAGTAAGCATTTTTCTTTTTCGACTCATGAGTTTGGACACGCTGACTTACGCAGAAGGAGAAACTGAGCACAGCTGCAAACAGGATAAGACCCCCTCGCTTGCCAGTCTTGTCGGCAGTCCAGCCAAATAAAAGACTAAGCACAATCACTATCCAGTTGCCCACTGACGACAGTGCGTTTGCCTGAAGCCGATCGTAGCCGTAGCCGGCAATGATGGACGGTTGGTATGTTGACAAGGGTGAGATGACGGCGATGGCGCAGAAGGACACTGTCAATTGAGGGTAGATGTACCATCTCGAGAAGGCAGCCTTGATATCTGCCCACTTGACGTATTTTTGCTTGGGACCCTGGGCAAGACCATCCCTAGCCACTCGTTGAGTCAGGATATGGATCTCCCGTGGTGTAAAGTACGAGTGACGCAGAATGTTTGACGGGTTCGCCGGTGAGTGCGGCATGAGCAGGGCGAAAACAATGCCGACGACGATGGTCAAGATGCCTTCAATCAGGAACATTCATTGCCACCCCGATAAGCCGCCGATACCTCGCATTTGGAGGATCCCGTAGGCGATCAAGCCACTGGCCGCCGAGGCAGACATGTTTCCGAGGAAGAAGGCAATGAAGCGCCTGCTGGTCTCATTGCGCCTGTACCACTGCGTCAAAGTGTACAAGCCGGCGGGAATGAATCCTGCCTCGAGAAGACCCAGCAGCAGTCTGGTGGCGTAGTACACCCCGACTCCCTTGCCCTTCTGGAAAGCTTGAAAGGTAGCCACCAGGCCCCAGCAAACGATCTGGCAGCTGATCCATTTTTGAGGACCAACACGGTAGAGGACGAGGTTGCTAGGTAGCTCAAGAAGGACGATACCCAGGCTGAGGAGCTGGTTGCCGACATTGAATTGGAACTGGGTGATTCCGACCTCCTTCAAGAAGAAGTCGGTGAGTGCGTTGCCGATGTTTCCGCGATCCAGCTGCAAGACGAAGAAGCCGGCGATGAGAAGAGGCATAATAAGCAAGTCCAGCTTCTTGACAATAGCCTTCTCCTCGGCCTCGGACCAGTCGCCGCCGTGGATCTGATGAGACGTGTCGGACTCTTTATCGCCGTCTGTGTCGGTGGCGGCGACGGCGACGACCGAGTCCGGGAACGTTTCCTTCTCAATGGACATGATGAAGAATTTGAGACAAGACGAGGATAGTATCTTGACGAAAAAAAAAAACACTACACTTGCCCTGCCAGACGCCGACTTAAATAAGAGGCCATGCTTGAGGCTGGCGTTTGGCAACTCGCAGTCTCCCAGCTGTTCGTCATGGAATTGCGCGATGGCGCAATGTTCAGTTTTTTCGGGTTATCGCGCTTTTATCAGTTTAGCTTTTGCAGTGCGATTGAGGCTTGCCATGCCATATCGAACGTTGAGCCCAGAAAATAGATGCGCCACACTTGCGTGAGCATGAATACATGCCCCCTTATACCACAACGTGTGAGCCTGGCGCGATGATGAAGCAACGGAAGTCGGTGCCGGTCCTGCTGAACGGGGGTGCGCCAATGAGACCAGGATCCGGGGCGACAGCCCGCCGCTTGGCAGCTCAATAGCCTGTCCTGGCGATGGACACGTCTCTAACGCTTTTGAAATGATATCTTGCGTGCTCGAGCGGCGCTGTCAAACATAGGAGACGCACCAATGAAACTGTGATCCGAACCACACTATATTTGCATTTCGTGGGGTCGAGTGCTAGCGCAAACTTCTGTAACAGTCGTCGACGGGTGGCCTTGTTGTAACTGCCAATTTGAAGACGCGAGATCGGATGATGTTCAAAATGCAATGCAAAAATTGCCTCAAAATGGTACCGGCTGAAAAGGGTATAACTTGTCTTGTTTGCCTTTTCTGTCGCGGTTGGGTTGGCAACAAACAAGGCTTGCTTCCTCCTTTCCCCCTTCTTACCTTGCGCAATCATGGGTGTCGCCAAGAGACCAAACTTCCTCGTTATAGTAGCTGATGACCTCGGTTTCAGTGACACTAAACCGTACGGCTCCGAGATTGACACCCCCGTCCTTGATCGGCTGTCCAAAGATGGCATACGCTTGACCAATTTCCACACGGCGCAGGCGTGCTCGCCTACGCGGTCGATGCTCCTCTCCGGTACCGACAACCACATTGCCGGCCTTGGCCAGATGGCGGAGAATGCGTCGATACAGAAAAAGCTCACTGGCAAAGACCCTGCGTATGTCGGCCAGCCAGGCTACGAAGGGTACCTCAACTGGAGGGTGGCTGCGCTGCCCGAGATCCTCTCAGACGCTGGCTACCTGACTGTCATGTCTGGGAAATGGCACTTGGGTATGACACCGGATGTTTCGCCGAGCGCAAGGGGCTTTAAGAAAAGTTTTGGCTTCTTGCCTGGTTGCGGCAATCACTTCAACTACGAGCCGCAGTTTGACGCAGCTGAGGATACCATGCTGTTGACGTCTGACGGTTTCTGGATGGAGAATGAAAAACCGGTCGACAGAAAAAAGGATCTGCCAAAGGACTTTTACTCGAGCAATTTCTTCACGGACAAACTCATCGATATTCTCGCCAACAGAACCGAGGCTGAGAAAGAACAGCCCTTCTTCTCGTATCTCGCCTACACGGCGCCACACTGGCCGATGCAGGCACCAGAGGAAGTGATTGAGAAATACCGTGAGTTGGGCTGCAATTTCTTCGATGCGCCTCTCGCTAACCAATTCATAGGCGGCAAGTACGATAATGGGCCCGATAAGCTCAGGCTCGATCGCTTGGAACAGCTGAAAGCATTGGGTCTTGTGCCGTCTGACATTGAGGCCGCTCCGCCTGTTGGATTCGAAGCAGGCGTGAAATGGGAGGACCTCACAGATGATGAGCGGGCCATTTCCGCGCGGAAAATGGAAGTCTACGCTGCCATGGTTGACCTGCTCGACCAGAACATTGGCAGGGTGGTTGATGCACTCGAAGCGTCTGGCGAGCTGGACAACACTTTTATCCTGTTCATGTCGGATAATGGCGCCGAGGGGTCGACACTAGAGGCAGCACCGGTACGTCGCACCCTGGGATTTAAACTTTGTATGCCTGCGCTAACGTACGAAACAGCTGTTGTCGTCGTTCAAGACACTTGGCGAGCTGATTGCAGCGCACTACGACAACAGCCTCGAGAACATCGGTAAGCATGATTCGTACGTCTGGTACGGCTCAAGATGGGCATGCGCTGCCACCGCGCCGTCTCGCGAGTTCAAAGGGTGGTCAACCGAGGGCGGTATCCGCTGTCCGTGCCTTGTCCGATTTCCGCCGCTCGGAACGTCTTCCGACGCAATCTCGCACTCGTTTACGACTGTCATGGACATTCTCCCTACCATTCTGCAGCTGGCGCAGGTGCAGCACCCAGGAACATCGTTCCGGGGTCGCAATGTGGTAGTGCCGCGGGGCAAGTCCTGGGTCGACCACCTGGCATCGCCCTCTGAGCATCCGACCGTGCACGAGGACGAAAATCACATCCACGGCTGGGAGCTTTTTGGCAACCGCGCGATTCGCAAGGGAAACTGGAAGGCGGTGCTGCTGGCAAGGCAGGGCGGCGATGGCTGGGAACTGTACAACGTGGAAGAGGATCCGGCTGAGCTCCACGATCTAGCAAAGTCGCGTCCTGAGGTTTTGGAGGAGATGCTTGTGCACTGGGCCACGTATGTTGCTGAGACGGGGTTAGTGGAAGATGCGTTCTGAGGGGATGATGTGATTGAGGCCCACAATGACGCTCGGTTAGGAGATAACGAGCCTTGATTGACATCGCAAACCCGGGTAACCCTCCAGTAGTTGTGGAATCAGAGAAATTGTTCATAGTCTTCTCCATCATCACAATGACCTATAAGAAAACACGCACCGGCTGCCTGGACTGCAAGGCTAGAAAAGTAAAGGTAGTTGACTCCAGACGACCGAGGTGGACTTGCGCTCACAAGTTCGGCAGTGCGACGAGACGGTTCCTTGCGGTGCATGTACTCGAAGAGGAACGGAATGCAGTCTCAAAGCTGGAAGCCGGTCACCCCGCCGCAGATTGCACTCCCCAAAGAGCCCGGTACAGCACCCGGTACAGACTGTCTCCCCGCCGCGTCTTCAACGTCTTGCCCCATCGCCTGCAGACGGACTGGCAGCACAGGACCGGGAGCTACTAGACCACTGGCACAGAGTCGCGTTCAAGGCCATTTCCCATCAAAGAGGCCTTGAAGGTCTGTGGCAATACCAGGTGACGCATCTAGCTGTTCAGCACCCGGTGATCCTGAACCTAGCCCTGTCCATCTCGTCCTTTGAACAGGCGCTCACGGCCCACCGTTCGCCGACCGACGTACAAGCGCAGCGACGGCGACGGGACCTTTGCGCGGCCCGAGGCTTCCGCTACTCCCGCAAAGCAGTGGGCTTGATGCGAGGCACCGTGGCCGCGGCGAACCGACAAAACGCGCCGCTGTGCCATCTCGCGTCGATCCTGCTCATGATCAGCTCCTACGCCGAGGGCGGGCTCAAGGAGCTGATTCGGAGCCAGGGCGAGCCCTCGTCCATCCTCGACGACCTCGTTGTCAATTGCAGACTCACGCGCGGCGTCAGGACGATTGCGGATACGTTGGACGTCGTGTGGCCGAACCGGGCGGAGCGCATCCTCTTCGTCACCGAGGTCGACGCTCCAGACCACGGGCCGCTGGACCCGCTGCTGGCGCGTCTCGAAGCGCTTACGTTTTTGGAGGAGGAGGGGAATGGAAAGGTGAGGCGCGTCTGCCAGGCTGCGCTCGATCTGATGACGTGGTTGGTTCGCAAGGCACAGACTTCGGAGTGGTGGCCGGCGCATAGGGCTTCGCTGCAGTGGGCGGCGCTGGTCAGCGAGGACTTTTTGCGGCTTTTGGAGGCAAGGGAACCTGCGGCGCTGGTCTTGCTGTCATATGGATGCTTCTTGGCAGATGACGATTCCGGCCACACGTTCATCATGACGGGTTGGAAAGAAGCTGTTTGCGCAGAGATTCGCGACCGCGTCGGTCCGAAATGGGCATGGGCCGTCTCGAGCTAACCGTCGTCCAACGTTGATCTGGATACGTTTGCTTCTACATTTTCTTCTCGCGAATACCCATCATATGTAGAAACGCTTGCAATTTTTTTGGCGAAAAGCCCAAGTATGTTTCTGAAATCTGTAGCTTGTCTTGACTTGCGCCCGGCTCACCGTTCCCACGCCGTTTTGCTGCGAGGGCTCTCCGCAAACGTGTGCTGGAATAAATTGATATCTAGAGAGCGGGGTTTCCTCAGGCTTGTAGAACAAAGACTTGCTATTCCACGTGTGCTATGCATTGTGTAACGTCAGAGCATGGTATTCTCGGAAGTATTTATTTACCTGGTGCTTTCCAGGCGGCGACCACTAATTTAATCGATAGTCCTGTGTACTCGCTAACGTTACGTTGTGCGGCGCCCACCAGATGGTGCTGCAATCGATCAGTGCAAGTGACGAAGTTGAGGCTGGCAAATTCAATCTAAAAATTATAAGCTGGTGGTACATTATTCCGGATGGCTCCTTTCAGGGGACCTGGTGTCTTGGCGGGGGATAAGTCCTGTAACGGAAATGAGACTCCCCTTTCCAGAGCCACGCACGCTTCCGTTGCACGAGCACGAACCGTTGCTTCTTGTCCAGGCACTTTGGAAATGGACTCTCGGTATGGCGCATTCAGCATCCCGCGCCGTCCAGTCGCCAGCGCCGCCTCACCCCTAGGTCCGCCGCCGCCGTACTCGGCCCTCCCTGAGCGGACGCCGCCTCTGCCCCCTCGCCTCCGCACCAGCAAGTCGGTCGCACAGCTCGACGAGCGGCACCGCGCCCAGCCGCCGCCCGAACGACCGCCGCCATCCCCTCTATGCAAAGAGAAGCAGGCGACCACGCTGCCTACGGGCTTTGTGTTCCACGACGCGGCGGCGTCTCACGCGCGGCCACTACTAGCCGAGCGCCCGGTCCGCCGCGCCAAGAGCTCCGTGGACCTGCGCCGGCCGCAGACCTCCGCTGCGGACTCCGTCACCAAACCCGAGTCGTCCTGGAAAAAGGCGCTTGACGAGGCGCAGTACCTCGCCGGCGGGCTCATCAGCAGCCCCGTGGAGTCGACGAGGCACCACAGCGTCATCCGCCACTCGGGCGCGCTGGTATGGTACCGCGGCCCAGAGACGGCCGTCACACTCACGATCCTGTCCGACGAGCCGCTGCCGCCCACACGCTCGCTGTGGCTCCAGCAAAAAGGGTATTCCGGCAGCGTGGGCATGTCCCTCAAGGCCATGGTCGGCACCACCAACGACTGGCTGGACGTGACGCCCGCCGCGCAAGCCCAGGCCGCACACGTCCCCGCCAACGAGGAGCGCGGCATCCAGCGCGACCTGAAGCGCTTCGCGAGCAAGGCCACCGGGCGGCTTAAGAGCCACCTCCCGCGGGAAACCTACATGGTCAGAATCCCCGCCGCGGCGCAGGACGGCTACTTTCGCATCGTGCTGTGTCCGACGCGCGACGGCAAAAAGGTCCTCGTCGGCAGCCCTGTGTTCCGCCTCGCCAGCACATCGGCCGATGTCAGCGTGCTGCGCGGCGCCGGCCTGCGCAGCATGCCCCTGGAAGTCGGCGTCAAGGTCGCCAGCGCCGTCGCGAGCACCTACGTGACCGCAGCGACGGGTGCGGCAGCGGGCGCGGCCCGGATAGGCGCCGGCCGGGTGACGAGCGCAGCGGCGAAAAAGGTCGCCCAGAAGGCGTACCGCGGCTGCGCGCGGGCCGGCGTCCACGACGCCGTCCAGGACAGCTGGCTGCGCAGCTCGACAGCGCGGTACGAGCGCGCCGTGTCCTCGGCCCTGATGGAGCCGACGGTGGGTGTCATTGTCGGCGGCGGCGCCGAGGGCCCCGCGTCGCCGTTCCCGATCAAGTTTTCCGGGCACGTGGTCCGAGGCACGGGCTACACGCGCGCGCGGTACGGCTTTCCGACGGCGAATCTGGCTGGCGCACCGGCGGAGCTGACGGTGCGCATGACGGGCTCGTTTGCGGCGTGGGTGCGGCAGGTCCGGGCCGACGAGGGCGAGCCGGCATGGTACGAGGCGGTGGTGCGTATCGGCCCGGCGGAGAATGGGGCCCCGAGCATCGTGCAGAAGAATGACGTTGCCGTGCACATATTGCACGAGCTCGAGGACACGGACTTGTGCGGCGCGACGCTCCAGGTGCTGCTGATGGGGTTTCTGCGGCCGCTGGGCGTGGCAGACGCGGCGGGAGGAGATGTGGACGGTGATCTGCAGCGGCATGCGGATGACTTGCTCACGACGCTGGCGACGCTGGCGCGTGAGCAGTGGCAGCCTGAGCCGACGCTGGAGCGGATACGCGCGCGGAAAGGCGAGCGCTCGTGGCGGGAGCGGCTGGATGGTGTGACGGGGACGGTGGCCGCACGGGTGGACAGGGTGCCGATGCATCGCGCAGGGATACGGAGCGAGGCAGGAGCACTAAGGGATGCGAGTTTGGGGAACGGAGGGTTATGGATACAGAGGTAATGTGGTGAGTTGTGGTATGGTGCATGGTAGTTGGTTGCGAATGTGTTGGGGCCGGGTTTGGTGTAAGTGAAGATGCTGCCGACTCCCAGGCGCTCAGGATGAGAAGCTTGGTTGTTGATTCACCACTGGAGCAGGCAAAATAACATAATGGAAAATATAATCTTGTAGCATTTTCTTGGATGTATTCGTCTCCATACATTACAAACTGAACGGCAAGCCCTCGCATCTGCGTAACAGGCAGAGAAAACCCACAAGGAAAAAACTCAGCCCAGGGCAACCAAGACTCACTCATGAGCACCTGTAAGAGCTAATCCTGTCATTCCACCATCCTTCAGGGACATTCTGCGGTTCGTTGTCATGTGAAGTGAAGGAGGCCCCTCCGCAGTCATTGTGCCTAAACTTGTTAATGGTCGATTGGCCCTCAGCGTTGGTGAGTAAAAACTTACTCATAGAAGGTGCAAGGTCCGCAACCCCGGGTTACCTGATACGAGGACACTTGATCATTCCAATCAGACGGCATATTATCTGCGCAAATTAGCAATTCTGGCTGGTCTGGAGGGGAGAATAGCCATATCCCCGCCACTGTCTGACTTGGAGAGACAAACGTACCACATGAAGAACAGCAGTCCAATGTAATACATGGCTGGCCTTGGTTCCAGTGTTTGCAGAACTTGACACCCCCATACCCATACGAAGGTTCAACTTCAGCACTGATAGTCGCCGCGAACAGGGAAATAAGGATCACAGCAGTCTTCATTTTGTGAACCGGACTTGTCAACGACGACTTGCGAATCTTGAAGGTGAGGATGTGGCTTGAAGGTCTGGATATGAACGACAACACTGGTCTGCCTTGTCCTATTTATCTACTTAGGACTGTGCGAAGGCTTACTGTGCGGCAACGGGCAATTGCCATGATAGTTTCGCAAAGAACCTAATCGAAATGATGATCCCTAGAAGCTGAACCAACCATGAGAACACACCGGCTGGCCTCGCATGCTGCCATGCGCAGGCAGGTAGGTCTGACTTCAGCTTGCCACGGCAGAATTATCATCTGCACAAGGACTAAACAGCTGTAGCAAGTTGCGGTGTAATTTTATCCTCTTCGGCCTGGGCCAACAGGACTTGCCAGTGCGGTCCATATCCTCGATGTTGTACTACATGTGTCAGCCATCGGCCACAACATACTCCCTCGCCGTATTTCATAGTCTACCAATGGGGTAATTGGACTTAGATCGCTTGCTCGCTTTGCGAGACACAATCACCTATTCACACGACACGTAAAAAACATGAGTCTGTATTTTAAGGCTCTCGGCTGCTGCTTCGGCGCGCCTTGGCAGCCATGTGGTTGGTTGCCCATTGTGACGAGGCTGCAGCTAGCGCCCTCCGCACCTGTTGCAATTGCACGCGGGTCTTAGACAACGCAGTGAATTAGGGAGCGAGCCGGGCCAGAAGGGCGGCTCCCCCGGCCGGCGCACGTGGCGGCCGATCGCCCGACTACCTTATCCCAACGGCGAGACCCAACCGGATGAAACGTCGCTCCACGCCAGCAAGACTTGGGCCCAATCCCCAACATCTCTCTCATATGGCTTCAGCAGAGGCTTATGTTGTAACTGCGTTGATAGTTGATTTGATGTTGGTCGCTTAGAGCAGCATCGCGACCGGCGTCAAGTGAGTTCTCCGATGCCAAGTAGTATCGAGGGCTGTCAATTTCTCCACATACAGATCCGTAAATAATTTATACCCGACTTCGAAAGGCCACAGCATCTGCCTCTGTACAAGTAGCCTATTCTGCGTGTCTCGGGTCCTTGCCTGTTCTATGCACGCAGATCGCGGCCCCATATACTGAAACTGGGCTGCCATCACCTCGACTACTTGAATTCGCCGTCAACTTCAGGCTCAGTCTTGTCTTCGTGGTGATCTGTAGCCTCCGTAACAAATACAGAAATGAGAGCAGGCTGACCAAGGAGTTGTATATATCGGCAGCCGTAGTTGATTGGTATACACGATTGCTAGGCCCGAGGCACGTAAAAATCACCGCGTCGGGTTGCGAGAGTGGCGGGCCGCCAAGACGGCCAAGAGCAACTCGATAAATTAATTCACAACCATAAGAGGATACCCCGACGCCAACAGCCTGTTCTATTAACAGAACTCAATAGTCTGACCGATCTCAGTAAACCGGTCAACCTAGATCAAGTCTTAATAGCCAGAAGACAACTTCCCAATCACTGCCTTCAGAAAGACCACACATAATGCTGATGACTTTTCGGAATAGACTTAGGAGGCGCCATAAAAAAATCGACGTTGGTCTTGCTTGAATTATCTTTCGTCACATTGTCTAATCTGAGACTGACCAACTCTGCTGCGCCAAGCTATAGCCGCAACGCCTCAATGGGTTTCTCCCCGCGGAGGCGTCATCTCCGCCGACCAAACGGCAGCAAGCAGAAGGCCTAGGCTCTGGTCTTAAATGCAATTCATCTCATGCGCCATTATCACTGCAGAAAGATCGGCGTAGGATCAATAGCTGCCCAGCATGGACCGCCTGGCGCAGGAAACCGTGAACAGGATCGAGCTGGCCCCGCCTCCAGCGCCAGCGCAGCAGAAGCAGAGGACGAGCCTCGTGAAGAAGCTCGTGCTTGGGATGCGCCGCGGACATGATAATCCGAAAACATAAACCGCGAGGACAAAACGACCTATTCGTGCGCCGGCGGCCGTACGGGATGCAGGCAAAGACAGTGAATGGCCCTGGCGCGTGCCGTGCCGCAGAACCGGATGCCCGGCGCCGGCTCGACGGCACGAGATGGGCGGCCAGGTGCACAGCGACCGCCCCTCGGCGCGGCGCCGTTCGTCCGGACGCTGGCCGTCACACCAGCAACGGCTGACACGGAGAAGACCCGGCAGGTGCTTCGTCCTTGGATTTGTTTTAGGCCATTAAAGGATGATAAGAGCCATTGAATCCTAGAATAAGCTGCAATAATGGATAGAGAAGCGGTGGGAGAATGACTGAAAAATGCAGCGGGAAGCATACGGGAACACAATGGATTCTAGGACGGAACCTGGCCTGCTTTGTGCGACTTGGTATCTCTTGTATTATAGGTGTAACTAGTCTAGTGTAGTAAGGCTGGGACGTACACGCACACAATAGTACTGGGTGACAGCACGTGGCGGGTGCTGGACATGGAGGCGAGCACCGCGCCGACGAGCGGCTTGTCAATGGTGCCAGTGGCGCCGATGATGGCCAAGATTGCGTGCTTGCGCGACGACGGACATGTTGATGGGCGTCGACTTACTTTCAAGATTTGCAAGTGATGACGTCATGCCATGGGCGAGTTTCCTACGACCAGCTCTTTCAAGGACGGGAAAGAGCGTTTCCATATGACAATGGTTGTGGTACATGGTGCGCAAATGAAGGTTTCGTCAAAGCCGGCAATGACGACAGGCTGGCATGCAACAAGTTTGGCATCGCCCAGTCGACCCGGGGACGTTGATTGCCTCCGCTAAACAAGGTTACTAGGATATACCTCTAGGCTACTGTTGCGTCACCATTAAGCTGACAAGACCTGTCCGTCACATCATCTTCAAACACTGAGCTCAAATCTTTACTTTCATGCACATTCTCATCAACACAATGGACACATAGTGCTTAAATCATACAATGATTAATGATATCATTCAATTCTCATATACATGCCACGCCTTCCACCACGCCGGACGGAGGTGCGGGCATCAATGTTGCTTTTGTGCTGTGCAAACCAAAATCATGCTATGCTCTAAAGAGCCCGACGAAAGCATACTCTCAAGAAGAGTGCAACAACCATACTCGTTGCGAGAAGAGTAAAGATAAACAGTACACAATACCACGCTCGAAAGCAAATGCAAGACGAAAACATGCGCATAACCATGCGAAGCCGAACTGCGAAAACCACCGGCCGTCATCAAAACATCATTATCGACAGTGGGAAATAAATAAGCACCAAACTCCATAATTGTGTAATTGTCCAACACATTGGACCCTTCACAGCCCAGCCACATCGAGACAGATTGCTCGTGGCCGGCAGCGTGAAGCTAGCCCGTCTCCAACAGGGACTATCCCCGAATCGCAGTCGCCGGGACAAATATATCGGGCGTCTGCTGCGTGTGGAGAGCCACGTCGGCCGGCGATGTGCCCGTGACGGGCGTAAAGCTGGGAGACATGGACCGCATCACAGGTTTGGACGTGGCATACTCAACCGTGTTCACGGTGGGGGCGCCCTCCTTCCTAGGGGAAGTAGGTGGCGATACTTCGTAGTTTTCAAGTATCTTGGCGTCGGTCGTGTCAACCTTGGGTCGCAGCGGCGTCTCCTGCGGCGATGACTTGACGCCAAAGAAGCAGTATTTGTTGACCAGCTCCTCGTACGAGGAGCTGGCTATCGCTGTGCCAGGGGCCGCAATCACCACCTTTTGTGGCGTGCCAAAGTTGGTGGGCAGCGCGCCCTTGGTGTTGCTCTTCATGTACAACGTGTCGGCCTCCTTGGGCGACGAGTCTTTGCGAGATTTGACAGCGTCTAACGAAGCGCCAAAGTCGTAGCGGTTAGCAAAAGCGGCCCCGCTGGGAGCGGTAAGCGATTTGATCATGTTATCGCTAGCAAGATTGGTGAAGGACCTGGACTTGAGGCGGAGGCCGGCACCGCATTCGCCAAGATACTCGTGCAGAGGTTGGTCGAATCGGAAGCCCGTCTCGTCGGCAAAGTCGTCAAGCGACGTAGGCATCGACAGCGGTCGGGGGCTAGTCGCATGGCTCTGTCGACGATTGCTGCGTGGTAGATTGCCAGGGGCCTTGTTCATTCCGTTAAACTGGACCTTGCCACGCTGCGGCAGAAATTTCTTGTGGAAATCCACCTGGAAGTTGGAGCCGCTGTTGTTGTCCCAGTGCTCTTGGCCGTTGACAGAGTAGCGGATACAGAAGAAGAGTGTCTTGCACTCTAGGTTGGCGGTGTCAGCCAGCTGAATAGATACGGTAAAGCGGTCGTGGCCGACAGCGCCCTCGCGGGCGTCAATGGGGCAGGTATAATCGCCCGTCACTTCTGAAGTCGTCTTCCACCCATCCAGCGTGAAGCGGCAAGTAATGAGCTTCTGGAAGGCGAGGTTGGCAACGTTGATGGATACCTGTAGAGACTTTTGGTCCTTGGACAGCCAAACCTTTTCCAGGCGAGCAGGCAAGGCAAGGCGGATCGGATTGTTGTCGTGAGGAAAATTGGTGGTGGCGAGCTCCCACTCAAAAGGAGGAGTCCGCGTCTTGGGACCGCCGGGAAAGGGGTACTCGTTGTCGCTCTCATAGGCTTCGACCGGAGACGAGCCAGCACTAACAGCCAGAGGCCGGTCAACCTGCAGAAAATGGCGGACATGCTCGAGGTGCGAGTCGAAATGGACCGCCTTGGAAAAGACTGGAGTGCCGGGCATGCTCAAGGGACGCCGGCGAGAGGAACCGCGTAGGGCAGGCCGAACGAGCTCACCCGATTTTTTTCTGACCATTTGTGGCTTGTAGCGGAGATCCTGTTCAGACTCGGACGAGATTGTGGCCGAGGTTTCAGCCGATGTAGAAAAACCAGCACGAGGCTCAGTGGCCGAGCGGCTGTGACTGGTCTTGTGGCTAGAGTGGCTGGAGCTGGCGGGATATGGTGAAAGAGCTGTGTTGCTGAGATTGATGCGCAGCGGCGATTTGGCCGGGACATTTTGGAAGGCATCGGCCAGGTTCTCATCCGAAGATCCAGGCGTGCCTTGCGATATTTGGCTAACAGCCTCCCGAAGGTTCTTCAAGCTGTCTTCAGATGCTGCCTTGAACTCGTCGTCACTACCAGAGGCAGACTCGGGAGGGGAGATGATGGCGCCGGCCGGAATGGGACGGACATCTGTGACAGGGGGAGGAGACTGGCGCAAGCTCGGGTTCGGGGGAGGGTGGACGGCTGTTGCTGTTGGTTGGTCGGGGCGGGCGGTTGTGATGGAGGGAGTACGGCGGTGCTTGTTTAGATACGAGGCCGAGTGCGGGAGGGAGGGACGAGAGCCATTTTGAATAGAGGAGCGTCGGCTGACGTCTGGCGAGACGGATACCGAAGACGCGGGCGACCGAGAAGGCGGCGTATAAGGCATTGCCAAAGACGGGCAGCGCCCTCTCGCGAGACACTCGACTCGCGTGGTTGGAGGCGAGGGAGGGAGGATTTGCGGGCGGTATTCGACTAACAGCGCCTATAAGGAAAGCACTGTAGCTTGAGGCGAATAAATCGAGATCAAATTATCCAGCGATTAATACATGAGAGGATGAGATGTCCAAACGGCTCTAGGGACTGGAGTGAGGGCGTCAGCGGTGGATTTCGAGTTACTGTTTCGAGAGAGAGGATTGTCGAGAAGAAGCACACAAAGCAATAAAGGAAAAGCAGATAATAATACAAAGGGCAGGCAAGTGTAGGACAAGTAAAATGATGCGAACTTTTGAAACGATAGGAAGAAAAGTAAAATGGTAATGCTCGAGTGGTGGAGTGGTTAACGACTGCGGGCGGAACCTACGTCGGAGAGATCGGATGTGCCGATGATAGCAGTGGCTGGTCATGAAACAAAGTTTGGGCAATATTCCAGCAACCAAACTAGCAATCAAGGCACGCTCTTGGATGCAAAAAGGAATTATAGAGACGTAGAGAAGAAGACGACGGGGAGGCGGTCGTAGAGGGTATACGGAAGAGAGAAGGTTGATGGTGTTGGTCGAGTCGCAGGCGACAAGGCAAAATGTGCAGCGGCAGTACCGTGAGGCGAGCGAGGCTGGAAGCGACGAGCGGGTCGAGAAGGATCTGGCGACGAAGACGACGAAGAAGAAAAACAGACCCGAGAAACCAAACCAAAGCTAATGATGACGAATTGAAGAGAGATGGATTAATAAAAAACAACCCCTCGACCTGGACGACGAGAACAAAAAAAGACGTTGCCCTGCGTGGGAGGAGTGACGAGGGAAAAGAGGTATGTGAGGAAAAACGGGTGGGGGAGGCGTGTTTTTGATGTTTTGGGTGAGAGAGCGCTGAAGGACGCTAGGCGAGAACTGGTTCAGTGGTTCCATGGTTCCAACATCTGGGGGAGTTTTAGTGGTTGCAGGGGCTACAGGGGGTGATTCTTTTAGCGGGTATTAGTCGCTAAAATTTGGTCGAGTTTAAAAGGCACTAATAGAGGTACTAGGTAGTTAAAGTGAAGAGTACAACAAGGTGCGACTGGAAGGTGCCGCTGGAAGATGCCACCATGAACCCACGCTCGGTGACTGCGACCAAGACGAAACCTTTTCTTTTTCTGTTTCTTGTCCGACCAAAACGCGACTACTCTGGGCTATCAACAGCTCATTCCATCTCATCCAACACATCCAACACTCTTCTCTTTCTCGTAGAAACGCCAAATTCATAAAACAGCCCACTCCATAGCTCATCACATCACACAGTGGGCACACACCCAATTCAGAGGGGCGCTCGCCTCTTTTTTCTTTGCATGCCACGGCCGATGGCGCGCAGCATGTTGGGGCGCTTGCAGGTCATTAGCGGGCCAATTGGCTTAGCGAGTGGGCCCGTGTCGACAAGAGGCCCCAGGCGTTAAATTCTTTGACAGAGACAAAAAAACTTGCATCTACTTCCTCGACGACTGCACGCCCTCGTTACTCGGCGTCTGGCCATCCACGCCCATTGCATCAAGACGCCTAGTTATCCAGATACGTTCTCATCCGACGGACTCACGAGCCTTGCCATTGCCATTGCCTCGCCACCCACCCACCGCGCCCGTCCGGCCAGCACCAGTGCCCGCCTCCCGTAGCGGCCGCTAACAACAACCCTTCCCTTTGCCACCGAGCTTGCAAAGCCCACCAAAGCCACACACCATGACCAAAACACCAAAACCGCGCCATCCCCAACCAATGCAAGTAGGACCCTGCACGGTGGCAAAATAAAGGGACACGCCATGCCTTGGTTGCTTGGCCCAGGAATCAAGCGTCGGGCTACCGGATTCAATCAACAAGTTTGCGGCAATTACCCAAATACCCATCCATTAATAATGCAAGGCCTCACGCCATACTTCGGACAACGACATCTGATGACAGACTCGGGCTTTGCCATGGCGTATCATGGCGTATGCCAGACTCCTTCAATGCCCGCAACTTGGCACGCCATGGCAGCCATTCGCTGACTATCTACTTCCTCAGGACCCTCCTTACCAACCGGACAAGTCTAGACGTCTTTCGGCCTGGGGATCTGGACCCCGGATCCGAGATGGTTGCGAAGAAGAACACAACACAGCTTGCCAGTCCTGTCTTGATGGTCATCTCCGGACAGTCTAGGCCCCAATTGCCGTCACACAACCTTCCCGTCCGCCGCTGCCGGCTCCTACAAGGGACGACTTTGACTTTTGCCCAGCATTCAAAACGTGACTCTAGTACAGGAACGGCACTGCAACGGCACACCTTCTTAATGAACCTAAAGATGAATTGCTACCATTGAAATGTCCAATGGGTCCAGCCTGCATGGAGGGTTAGGTATTCAACCCTTTTTAGCCTTGTTCCCCCTGTTTCCCCTTCAACTCTTGTCGTGCTCGCCGCCGCGCCGGGCTGCCACCGGCTCCGGCACCGGTGGGGATCCATCAACCCATCTATTCTGTCGACTGCAACACCGAGTGGACTAGCCAATTGGCGGTACATGGCACCTTGCAAGAGCGTCCTGGGATATCCTGTCGAGCGTGAGATGCGAGAACCGGCGGCAGTTGTTCCCCAGATAGTTTGTATTACCATGCCTGGTCAGCCCCAAGAGACAGCATGGTTAAATTCATGCGTCAAGTGTGCACGGCTGACGAGACATTGTTCAGAATCGCCCTTGACAACGCCGCACGCGCAACACGAGAAAAGCCCACCACCGCCTTGGTTTGGTCAACTGGTGACGCTAGCCTGAGAGCGGCTTGGCCTACGGTGCCCCCTGTTGCTGATACTGATACGGATATCAGTAATAAGATGCGCAGTAATAACTAATACTAGCTGACCAGTAGTATTATTATTAGCCCGCTTTGTCAAGGAGCCCGCCCTGGCGTTGATCTGCTCGTCCGCTTATCAAGGATGCTCTCATACTGTGGCGCGCCACTGTCATTTTGGGACGACGCTTGACGGTCGGCCCTCTAGCTGAGACACAGAGAGCGCCAGACCTAACCCATCGGAAACGCAAATAGCGTATCCAGAGGAACCCGGTCATTTGGCGTGCCTTGGCCGCAGTTGTTGACCTGTCGTGGCATCGTTGACGGCATCCTCTCGTCGTCCTATGCAGTGGTTATCAGTCTGGTTGGCTGTGGCAAAACGCACATACTTTGATGTCGTGGCTACTCCTCTTCTCCATCCGACGCGCATCCCATGGGGAAAAATTGGCCGACATTGGGTCAGTCTCGATTTGCGACAAGATCTGCTCCAGCGGTCCCGTCGTGCCGTCCAGGTTGGCGCTGCTGGCAGAGTTTTCATCAATTCCATTGCAAAAAACTTTCGAGATAAGGCTGCACAGGCCAGGCTTGGGTGGGTCACCGACTTGCTCCCAGATTACTGGGCAGTTTGTCTTGCCTTGCAAACGAACTGCGAGCCGGTGGGGCCGTGTGGCCCGCCGCTATCATCAACCAAGTTACAATCAGCGCAACAAGGAGAAAAAAATCTTTCTTCCTCCCCCTCGCTCTCTTTCACCTCAACAACCTAGTTACAAGCGTCGTGCATCTCCACGGATCTAGCATTTCTCTGCCAGGGATCATATCAACTTTGCCACTACCCCCAACAAGGGATGGATATCCGGTCAATTGCGCCGCTGCACTGCATATTCGCCCAACCATCCAGTCACATCGCCAGCCAGTTCGCCATCCGCATCACCATCCACAAACAACAAGAAATGCATCCGGTCAAGCAGTTTGCCAGCCATCAACACCATCACGGCCACATCTCCACCACATCCACTGTAGACGCCCCCTCCGGCCTCACAAAACTGCTACTACTAGCTGCTTGAGCCACCGCTAGTGCCTATCCTATCACCGCACAAAGGTAATAGGCACATACGAATAATAAACCAAGACGCCACGCCTCAGCCGTCCCTCTCGTTGGCCACCTTTCTAACAAGTCGGCGACTTGCCGACCTCTGGTGCATTCCCGCCTGCCTCGAGCCTCACGCCTCTGCAGCCAGTATTACATGCCGCTCGTCCAATATCGGCACAACTGTCCATCTGTGCCTACGGACCCGTCGGCCATGAGTGGAGTTCCAGAAAGACGACGAGTCGGTACGACGGTATCCAAGAATTGCCTTTGCGATTTCCAGTTCTACAGTCTACGCGTGCTGGTCGCCATGCACATCTACCGCATTCGCATCTCGCGATAAATCTTGCACGACTGGACCGGGCGTAATACGAAACCCATGTTGGGGGAGAAAAAAAAAGACCAAGGAGAAAGTCAAATGAGAGACAAGGCCCATGCTTGACGCAGCCAAAAAAGACATCGACGATGCCGCCATGTGGGTTTGCTGTCACCTAACTTGCTAACTACCTAACGAAAAGCGGACACGGCCAAAACTGGACCTCGCGTTGTACTTTTGATGCGCGGTGCCGTCACCATTGTACGTACGGAGTACATGGGCCGCCCAGCAACCCACCGGCATGCCTTGGACGGAGAATGGCGTCCGGCCAGACACTCCTGACCGAGCGCGCCTCTATCAGGCCATATGTCCAACTGCTGATAACCTCACATCATACCACAACCTCTAACCTCTAACCTCACAAATCTGCAATCACACTGCAATAACACTACTACAGTTTTCGCCTATGCTCATCTTTTACCGCCTATGCCATGTAACCCCTTCTCTTGTTCTCCCTCACACACGCACCCTCCCCAGGTCGCCCTGATTGGCTACTCGATTCGATCGCTTGCACCGCAGCCTGCCACCTTGATGCTCGCCTGTTGCACGCTAGCAGGGGCAAATATTTCTGTTCCTCTCCACCATCGTGCATGCTGGCCAATTTGCAAGGGGCGCGCTCAATACGGTCGATCGCGAAAGCTCTTCATCTTGCCTGTGCCGCTGCGCCGCATACTGTTGCACGCCCCAGCTCCGAAGCGCTGAGCCAAGCCAAGATCCGCGGACAGAGACAAACGGCAGGCAATGCTTGTTTGTTCAAATTCCATTATGAAAGCCATCGCAAACGAACCTGTTTCACCCCCGACCATCGCAAAAACATGCATGTCCTCCAACGCCTGTCCGTAACTAACCAGTGGTTAGCTAGATTTGTCAACAGCATCACCTGCTCTCACAAATAACCTCTTGCTTTTTATCCTTTCTAATACGAATACTATGTCTAGAGTTAATATCGCCATGGGAGATTGCAATCGCACACGACAGTCTTTTATTACAAAAGCCGCCCGCATGCAATCATTCCCTTTCAAGCTCCGTCCCAAAAGATCGTTCCCGTACCCGCTGGACCACATGCCCCACCTCACTCACGATGCTCTTATCTGCTGCAAGGAAGGAGAGTACATGGTGCGGCTCAACAAACAACATACTGACAACTTTTCAGGATAAAGGAAATCACCTAGAAAGCTACATTGCCTATTTCAACTCTCCAGGTCTACTAGTCAAATCCTGCGTAATCACCACAACTGCCATCCGCTGTATCAGTCCATGAGGAAAACACCTTGGTTCACAGTACAAAAGGAAGAAGCTTCAATGGGCGCCACAGAACTTTTGTCCATGGTATTGCATCAAGGACGCCAAATGCCACGCAACAAAGCTAGAGAGGCTCACCCCCTCACCGGCTGCATCCTGCGCTTGGCAACCGTGATATGCCTTGCGTTATTTGCCCTCTGTCTGACACCTCCGCAATCCCCGGCAATAGTCCACACCGACTGGCAGCCTGCGCGGCATGGCAAGCCATAGTACGAGAAGCATGCACGCCTGCATGGGCTCGCGTCGTCTCCACTCACCGTTTGTCTGGCGCACCGTGGCGTTTCTTCCCTTCTCTCGCATCGAGGTGTTTAGTAGCTTATTAGGAGATGATGGCGGAGTTTGATGAATTGACGGGATTTGCGGGTTGAGGGCCGCATTTCAGTTCAACTAGACCGCCTACTCATGACTACAAGCCAAGTAGCGATCAAGTGTTATATCCGGTGCTGGTAAGCCTCATTTGGAATTTGCCCGGAATAAACGGTCCTGATTTAACTGTCGTGTAACATGTGGCCGGCGCCAGGGGCATGGGAGCTTCAGATTTGGAGCTGCAAGCCAACCACACCTATACAGCGACGACTTGTGCCACGCTGCACCGCAGCACGCCCCAAGTGGCATTGGTGTATTATACACAGGACTCGTCATGTGCGCAATTTAATCCCATCGCTCGTTATGAATGTCTGCATGCTTGGCTATGGAGCCCTCAAACATGTGAATGCACACAGCCCAGAGACGTGGCGCTCGCCTTATCATTCCCCGCGTTTGGCATCGAACGACTCACAGGGACTAGGGACTGGGGGTAACAATACGCACATTGTACCAGTAGACGAGTGCCCATTCAAGGTCGGGGTAAATAGATGCAGGCTTTGCTTTTGGCGACATGGGCGGTCAAGGCCCGTTCAGCCTCGTTTTACTAGGGCGGCGGTGGGCGACTAATAGAGTAGTATACCAAGGACTCGGCGGCTTAGACGAAACGGTCTAGACTTGATGCCAGCAGAGCTGATCGACGGTCAGTGGACTGGCCAGAACATCTGTAATTTATTTATCTGTAATTGTCGCCAGTGCATAGCCATGTAGTTGCCTTCGTATGCCGATTGTGGCTTGAGGGGTAGCACCACGCTGTGCTCGCAACCGGTTCAAGGGGGGGGGGGGGGCGATCGGCGGATGAAGGCCAGCGGTGGCCGGTCCGGCAAGATGGCGATGACTTTCACAGAGTCTACTCGTTAGAATAACGAACCAGTACGATGATAATGCTACATATGGTCTGCCGATGCGTAAGAGTTCAGGGGTAGGACCTCTGATGGCAGGTGAAGCTGCAGCAGCTCCGTACTCAAGTGCATGCTATCGGACCGGCAGAATGTACGAGGCGACAGGAGAGTGCAATCAAGGGCAAGATTTCATTGCCAATATACCGGCATGCCTGAATTGGCAGGCCATGCGTATGCGGATGCATAGCTGGTGCGAAAATGTCCCGATATGGTGGCGCCATCTTTCTCTCAGACAAAGCATAAGTCGGGGACCAAGTCGACACAAGTCAACCCTTACCCAGGGCTTGGCGGAAAGCAACACTCTGTGAAACATTTGTGAGCGAGAGGAGATAAGAGACTAGTTAGAGCCCGTTGCCGAGTCGGGCGAGATGTCGAAGCGACGCCGTCCCCCCCCCAGGGTCTCTGCCCCTAATAACGATGGGGGATCCGGGGTAGATGGGGGCAACACGATAGGCTTTCGGTGCAGTGAAAACTTGAACTATTTTTATATTTTTAATCCTGTTTTGAATAGAAGGCAAGGTTTGGGAAAGACATGGATTGAGGCGTCTTTTTGCCACGAGGGCTTGCGTCTCCCCATGTTGTGTAATCTAGATGCTGTGTTACACTTGTGCTTCCCAACCGCGCGCGATAAGAGCCGGGAGTGAGGCACAGGCATGGACCTGAGATTGGTTGACATGGTTGTGCGGCTTTGTGTCACGATAATCAAGGCAGAGCCGACATTAAAACAGGTTTTTTTACGGCAAAATGAGACTGTGCAATAGATCTTTTCCGAGGTACCTACAAAGCTAGTAAAAAAGCCATCGTCGGTTTGATACTAGCAAGTGTGGTACGGTAATGTGGTAATAGGCTATTGCCTGCGCTCCAGCCTACGCAGGACATTTACACGCATAGCTGTAAAGGCAATATCTTCTATTATTTCCTGGGCACTATTATCAGTAGGTATGCCGTGATGGCCTGCTGTCTGCAAGATTACGTACGCCATCCGCGCACCAGACACAATTTACCCCTCTTCTCGCCTCACTTTTGGCGAGGCTTCGCGAATCCTTGGCAGCGGGAAGTAGTTATTGAAAGTAATTCCCAAAACAAATCCTACAACAGTTTGCTTGATTTCGGTTTGCTTGTGTGTTTTCAACTAAAACAACTTCGAGGTCAATACTTTAAAAGGGCCTGAAAAGCAGCTCGACGAAACTTCCACTACGGCGTTGAGGAGGTGCACACAAGCTGGCTACGATGACGAAGAGAAAAACGAAGTTTGTGGGATAATGCGAGAGGTAATCGGAGGTATTGTTGTCCTATTTTACCAGTCTTTATTGACTCTTTAATACTATAAGTTGAGCTGAAAGGGCACTCAAAAGTTGTTACCCTTTTAGTCTGCTCACCGGATGAGTAACTCTTCGTTTCCAACTCTGGCGATGATGAGATTAAGCTGTGTACCAAGGATAGTACTTCATGCCAGCAATTGAAGGGTCACTTGGGTAGTATCAGTCACGCTTCCTTTGACAAAACGGTCATTCTTTTGGCATGTCGCAGAAAGCTCAATGGCGTGTCAACTTGTCAGCCACGCATACACAGTGAACGACATTCACTTTTCGCCGAGTGACGCTCGCTTTCTCGTGTGCTGAGTGGATTCTACAATAAAACTATGGGATATCCCTCTCGGTGCAAACCTCGAAACGTTCAGTGGCCACTCAGACACCGTCAGCTCTTTGTCATTCTCCCAAGACAGTAGCAGTCTGGATTCGTGCTCTGATGATCAATCCATCAGGCTATGACATCGCAGAGCCGCGTTGTTTTTGCATGTTATCCAACTCGCCATCACAGTTCATGCCATAAAATTTCGATTGCGGTAAACGCATCGAGACAGACGAGGGCGCATTGGCAGTCGGTCCGGTAGACGACCATCTCGCATGGCGGTCGTCAAACCACCCACCAATACTCTTCGTGACGGAACGGTAGATTCAGAAAGACGGAGAGAATTGTCTGTGGCTTTCGGATGATTTTCGTGCAGTTACTGCGGTCACTTGTAGGGCGAGAATCGTCATTGGACGCTCTACAGCTAGCATCAGTCTGCTTCATCCGTGATGCCCGTCGCAGCTGTCACCGTCCTATCTATGCACGAGCAGAATACGACCACCTTGATTCATTTACAGTAAGTACCTGGCTCGTAGAGTATCCTTTGCTGTTGAGGATCTATTAGAGTTGTAGGAGAAAAGATTTTACAGTTGCGAAGCACACGCCTGATCCACGGTTTGGATGTTGGCGTGTTTGTTGTGATGAAGCAATCGTGCTCCAAAGTGGCAGCTAGAACATGACCACGGTCGGAGATGAGCCAGTAGCAAGCATCAATTAACTTTTCATACAACGGTCAAGAGGTTGCTCTCCCTCCGGATACTGAATAAGATGGCATGAGAAGCTCATCCTGTGCTTGTAAGCCCAGCTCACACCTACCCTAGACACGAGGAATGCTACTTAAAAACATTGCCTCGCGTCACAACGGGCTTGTTGGCAGGGAAAATCGAACGTGGTTGGTAAATGAAGGCGTAGTGTATTACTGTCTAATCAGAGGGACTCATTACTTTAATGCTGAGTTGAAATCGGAGGGCATCGTTCTAAACCAACAAAGGTACATTGTCTTAACTAGCTCGTGCTCTGCTTGGAATCACCATCAATAATCAGCACGTTCGAATTTGGGTTGTAATTTTTTCAAAATAGTCGTTTTCTACTTTTGCATTTATCGTCTTTTTATCACATGGTATTGCCTTTTGCTGACATTCCGTAAAGTTGGCCAAAACAGCGCGTGGGCCGATGAACGCCTCCATACGCGTAAAGTCGCCATCGGCCAGTTTACCACCGAGACCTATGAGAGGCGGGGAATTACGAACACCAATCCACAAACCTGCCCATCATCACCATCCGAGCCTCAATCGACTTTACCAGGGCCCTTTTCCCTATGCGCGGGCAAACTCGGACCGCCGCGCGCCGCCGCGCGTCACGCGCCAGCCCAGCATCCTCCCCTCACGCCAGCGACTCCGACAGCACATCCCCCGCGCGGCCTGCCAAGCGTCGCAAACCGACCCCCTCCCCGGCCGCGGCCAAGACGGACGCCTACCGGGCCATTATCCGCTCGCCCACGGCCTCCCCTGGCCCCGCGAGCCTGCCGCCGACGCGCTGCCACGCGCTCGCGTACCACAAGCCGCTGCTCCTCGAGGGCGCCGACGCGCGCGGCGCGCTGCTGCGCTGGTTCGACTCTGTGAGCCATGCGCGGGCGATGCCGTGGCGCAAGCCGTGGGTGGACCCGAGCGGCTTCGCGTCGGCGGACGCGCTGCGCGCCGCGCTCGAGAAGCGCGCGTACGAGGTCTGGATCAGCGAGATCATGCTGCAGCAGACGCGCGTGCCCGTCGTCGTCGACTACTGGAACCGCTGGATGGACAGGTGGCCGACGATGCGGGACCTGGCGGCCGCCGACGCCGACGCCGTGCTCGCTGCGTGGCGCGGCCTCGGGTACTACAGCCGCGCGACGCGCATCCACGCCGCCGCCAAGCTCGTCGTCGCGGACCCCGCCATGGCCGGGCTGCTGCCGTCGGCGGCCGCGGAGCTCGCTGCCAAAATCCCCGGCGTGGGGCGGTACACGGCGGGCGCCATCTCGTGCATCGCGTTTGGCCGCCCGGCGCCCATGGTCGACGGCAACGTGCTGCGTGTGCTGAGCCGCCAGCTCGGCCTCTACGCCAACGTCAAGGCGGTCGCGGACATGATCTGGGTCGCCGCCGAGGAGCTTGTGAATGCCGTCGCGCTGGACGGACAGGGAGACGCAGCAGCGGTAACGCCCGACGAGACGCGGAGTGACCGGCCGGGGCGCTGGGGCCAGGCCCTCATGGAGCTGGGCAGCACCGTGTGCGCGCCCAAGCCCGACTGCGGCGCGTGTCCCATCACGGCCACATGTCGCGCATATAGCGAGGGCCTGGCCATCAGCAAAAAGGAGAAGAGCAGGGACGACATCGCCGCCATAGAGCATCTTTGTAGTGTATGCGAGCCGTTTGACGAGACCGACGATATCGAGAACCAACCCCCCGTTGTCGCCCGCAAGGGCGGCAAGCAAGCGACGCTATCCGCCTTCTTCAACAAGCCCAGTACACCACGCCCGAATCCGTCCGCCATAGTCGACGTCGAGGCCATTGTGAACCACGCGCGGCGGTTCCCTGTTAAGGTGGCGAAAAAGGCCGTCCGCCAGGAGGAGACGCTTGTGTGCGCCGTGGTGCGCGGCGACGGCCGGTACCTGATCCACAAGCGGCCGGCCAAGGGGCTGCTCGCCGGGCTGTGGGAGTTTCCGAGCTCGACGCTGGAGACCCCGAAAGCGATCACGGCGGGCCAGCGCAGCAAGCTGGCCAGGGAATTTGTGGCGGGGGTGCTGGACGGCGAGGACGGGGTCCAGTACGTGGGGGAGCTCGGGAGCGTGCCCTGGCTGTTTTCGCATATCAAGCTGACGATGCATGTACACTTGTTCCGGCTCGAGGGGGCGGGAGATGTGGGCGTGCAAGGGACGACGAGTCGACGGTGGTCGGATACTGTGGACACGGAGTCAATGGGGACAGGGATGCGAAAATGCTGGGAGTTGGTCAAGCAGGGTGTATGAATGGGCACAAGGGGGTGTATAACATCTGTAGCGGTATTTGTATAGTAGACGGATCAAGCAGTGTATAATATGCATAACAAGTACTTGTAAAGTAGATGGCTGAACGACAGTACAACATGTGTAACAAGTCCTGCATCTACTTTCACGTGTCTACTGGTGCTACGAGCTTCGTTTTACCATTTGTTGAAATAGTTCAATTCAAGGGTATATATATATCAGTCACTCATCCACATTCATACAAAACACCGCATTTAGACCCGGGCTATAAACCAAAAGCAAAAACATGCACATGCATCTCATCCAATCACGCCTATGTTTATTGCATGTGCTGGTGCTCCTGTACGGGGGGACCAGCGTAGTTGCGGTGGCCCCAGACAACGTACCAGAGGGCAGAGATGGACATGGCGGCGGCAAAGACGACCGAGGCAAAGTTGACGTTTTCGATCTTGGTGACAGGGTAGTTGGTGGGCATGCAGAAGAGAGGGAGGGCGAGAAGAGACCAGGCTACAATACACTTGTTAGCAAGGGGTTCTGCTGATGGAGCGCGGGATACGTGAACATACCAACGGCAACAAAGTTGGCGACATAGCCAAACTTGCCGAGAGGGAACGGGGCATCAGCCACCTTGGCGCGGCGGGTGAGGATGTTGATGGCAATGGGTGTTCCGTACGAGGCAGTCAGGCAAATGACACCGACACCAGAAAAGGCGTTGAAGGCAACGGCGGAACCAAAGTTGATGAGGCCGAGGACAACCTGGACAACCATGCTGAGCATCATGGCATTCAGAGGCACGTCGAGATTCCTGTTGACCTTGACCCACCACCTGGAGCCGGGGATGGCGCCGTCGCGAGCAAATGCCCAGACACAGCGGGAGGCGGCCGTGGTGCAGCCAATGCCACAAATGAGGGCAAGGACCATGAGGGGAATCAAGAGACCAATGGCGCCGCCCGGGGAGCCGACGGCGGACTTGATAATGAAGGGGACGGGCTGGCCAGAGGCGATGATGTCGGCGATTTCGCCGGCGGGCATGACGAACATGAGGGGGATGAGGAAGAGGAGGCCGGCAAATGTGTTGATGAAGATGGTGGCGACCATGGCCTTGGGGACCTGGGTAGCGGGCTCCTGGACTTCTTCGCACATACTGTAGCATGTTAGCACGACGCCTTGATGGGTGATGGCATGTGGACCACATGGATGGGTACTGTGTCGATGCGATAAGGGGGGTGGACAATGGAGGAGGAGACGTACGAGATAATCATGCCGGTGGATGAGGTGGCGTAGCCGGCGTGCAAGAGACCGACCATGAAAGACCAGCCCTTGGGCCAGCCAGACGACGTCTCGAAATGACCAAAGACGTAGGCGCCCGAGTTGCGGCCATTTTTGGCCATGACAAGGACGGTAATGGTAATTGCAATGACACCGGCAAAGGTCCAAAAGATGGCGGCCGTCTGTGGCGCACGTTAGCTTGAAGCAGGAACACGGAGGACGGAGCGCGGAGCCGGGTGCCGGGTTCGGTGAAAATTCGGGGTGGGGACGGCAGATAGCTCGCTTGTAGACTTACGTCAATCCAGGGCAGCCACTTGTTTCCGAGAGAGGAAACAAGGTTGCAGAGTATGGTAATGGCGAGAAAGAGGATGAACTGCTGCCAGCTGGTGCCTTCGATCATGGGGATGGGTAAGCCGTCGGCGTCGAGACCCTTGTCAAAGACATTGATACAGCCAATGAAGAAGAGAGCGGTACCAAAGTTGACAGCGAGTGTAATGGTAATGTTTCCGACGACATAGAGCCAACCGCAGACCCAACTGGCGATGCGGCGCCAATTGGCGGGGGCAAGCATAAAGGCTTGGTAGTAGACGCCTGGACTGGTTAGCGGAAAGAATTGGAGGCTGAGAGCAGTTTCAGCTTACCTCCAGCTGTGGGATAAACGCTGGTAATTTCGCCAAGAGAGGCAGCGACACAGACGATGATGAGAGAGACGAGAACCCAGCCCCAGATGACGACGACGGAGCCGCCGCCAATGATGGGGTAGATGAGAGTCGTGGCGAGACCGTAGGGGATCGAGGCCAGGACAAATGACATGAAGGCGACCTGGGCAGTCGATCGATTGCGCGATAGCTCGGGCTTGTAGCCCAGGGATTCGAGGAAGTGGTCGGCATTGTCCTCGGTGGACATGCGGGGAGCGACGTCGTCAGTCTTGATGTCCATCTTGCCGGAGCCGTTGGAGTCGAATCCAGGCGCCATGATGATGTGGGAGAGGCGGAGGTGGTGATGGCGAGGGAAGAAGAGGCGGGACGAGGCTGCGGGCGTTGTTAAGTAGAAAAATCAGAAGAAGAAGCGCGACGGTGTGCGCACGTGAGGCTATGCCCAGAGTGGGCAGGCGACAGAGAGGGGCGTGTGGGAGGAGCGCCACAAAGAGAAAAAAGAGGGCCGATATCCTGGCCCTGGGGTGATGGAGAAGAAAAAAAAATAGATGAGACAAGAGTGTAGGTAGTTATTTATAAATACGTTGCCGTGTATGGCGGGTTGTCTTGGTGGTGTTGGTACCAGGGCGACGGGACGGGGGAGATTGTCGGCAAAAGGGTGTATGCAATTGGAGGTGGGGGAGGAGCCGAATATAAGATGAAGAGAGACACGGAAAGGCTAGAATAAATGGAGAGGTCCGGAATGGGGCAGAGAATATTCGAACTACTAACTGCTAACCTACCTACCTAGCTGTATACTAATGTTATTATGAAGGGTGCGAGGCTGAAGACTTGGACAAGTGCGGTTGGGTGTATAGGGCTTGGTGCGCTGTAAATTACCTGCCTACCTAGGCGGTCGCGCATGGTTAGCGGGCGAGGGGCTTCAGCAAGGGCGAAAAGGTTAATTATAAAATAAAGTAGAAAATTCTGCACGTTTTCTGGAAGGCGCCTGTTTAAGTGGCCAGCCGAGTTTCATTGACAAAAACCCCAGGGCGCATTGCAGAAATCCTAGGTATCTAATGCCGATCCGAGTACTTGCGGCTTACGGAGACTGGTACGAATTACAGGGAGGGTCCATGGCTGGCCAGGGGCTTTGGCGAAAACAGCCTTGAAAGAGAGAGGTGGGCTTTCACTACGTCACCATGGAGCAATGCTGCAGAATCGCAGTCCACTGTGGAATACACAAAGAAATGCATCTTATTATTACGGGTACATTTATTCTTACGGGGCACTGCGAGCTGTGGAGGTCTCGTCGACGGGCGGGCGCGATAGAACCTGTGGTTATGGGAGGGAGGGCACTGAGGCGAGTCACTGAAAGCAGTTGTATTGGACAGCAACATGAGCAAGCACATAGGTAGGAATCCAACATCGGCCCTTTTCAACGCTCCTCTTCCGCGCATGCATATTGTATTCAAGACCGAGTAAGCCACTGAATGAGCTTGTCTGGAAAACCTAAAACAAACGAAGCAGTGGCTTGGACCTGTCACTCGCATGTGCCAGCGGACGACGGGCGCCGTCTCGGACGGTGCCCAAAGTGGCTTAACCTGGACTGACTAGCCACAATTTACAAGGGGGCCGGCAGAGGCCTGTAGGCTGTAATGTGGCTGGCTGGTTGGTCGCCACGGGTTCGCTAATTCGTACCGTTTTTTATCAAAAGAGGCTGCAACCAGCCCACCAGTTCCAGCGCCGCGGCGAGGCGGCCAGTCCGCCATTCGCTAGACATGCGAAAATCCACAAAAACTTCTTTCGATCTTTTTGAACTTGTGATTTAGTATCATCAAGTTAACTAGGTAATTTGTATCGTCGACCAATGGACAGAACCCGTCGTCCAAGTACACCGAGCTTGGTCGTGAAACCCACTGACAACCGACTGATTCAAGCCCCCCCGCTGTGGACTCGTCTCTCAGCGTAATTGAACGGCCCTGTTCTCAAACACCGCCGAGCAAATAATTGCCGCAAAAAAAAGGTCGAGCTGTGGAGTGTAAGATGCAGCGTCTGCGACGGACTAGTTAGGCCCGGTTTTTCACGGCAGAATGGAGAAGAAATCAACAGGTTTGTCTTGTCATACGAGTGACCAAAAAGACCAGACAGGTGCTCATACTCCGTAGTCTAATGATACTCTCTATACTGAAATGTTCAAAATGGAGAGAGGGAAAATGAATAGGATAAGAGTGGAGAAGAATAAGAAGAAGAACGAAAAGAAGATGACGAGAAGTAAGAAACAATACACTACAGTAGATATATATGATTGGCGGTTTCTGGCTTGGTGGTATTAGGAGGGTAGGCTGGAAGAATAATGGAAGGCTAGGCGCAAGGAATAAGGCTTCCGACAGCTGAAGCTAACTAGGAGAACTCCTAGTAGGGCTGCCGCTGTAGTGTTGACCCTGGTATGCTCGTATAGACGACGCCGTCACACGCTATGAGCTACATACCAGTAGTTAGTTATTCAGCAATCGGGTGCTGCAATCTGTCCTGTCTGATCACATGCATGTAACGTACCGCAGCATCTTGTCATCATTCGTATTACTTCAATCCCACCTACTTGTAGATGTGCTTTAAACTCCCGAGACATCACCTCTCAAGACATTGCCTCTTGGATATTGCCCCAAACATTGCCTCCCAGACATAACAGTGCCGCCCTTCATCATGCCGCCCAACCGCTGGCATCCCTCATGGTACATGCTTGATTATCGCCCTTCCCTGCCGTACTTATCAGATCGACGCTATCCCCGTCCGCCATTGTAGTCGGCACCGCCCGCCTTGCGCAGCCTCGCCACGATATCGCCCTCCTCGAGCTCCGACGCATCGCTCGCCGTCACGGCGATGCTGTGGTGCGCCAGCACGCGCTTCACGTCGCCGCTCTCGACGCTGACGCGCGCCTTGCGCATCACCCGCGTGCCCTCGCCGATCCAAATCACCAGCACAAACTTGACGCGCGTGCTCTCGGCGTCGTTGGCGTACTCGACCCGCACGTACCCGTACTGCACCTCGCCCGCGTCCAGCGACGCCGCCATCTCCGACAGGCCGCCCGTGCCTGTGCCCGTCAGCGCCAGCCGGCTCCCCGTCGCGCCCGCGTACGAGATGAGTAGCCAGTTGGTCGCCTCCTTGTCGCTGCGCACGGCGTCGTACGCAGCCGCAATATCGCCCGCATCCAGTCCGGACATGGTGCGCAGTGGATTCCCGGCTGACTGCCAAATGTCGGCTGCGGTGCGGCAATATCGTGTTCGTCGCGTGGCCGTTTGATCGAGTCCCGAGGCAAAAAAGCGCGCGCGCCGAGTGTCGGTCGCAAATGCAGCAGCGCACTGTAGAGTTGTGCTTGTCAATGTTGCTTTCGCACGTTCAATGCCGGTATGGGATACTCTCGTGCAGTCGAAGATTGGCTAGAAAGCAAGTTGCTGGCGTAGACTGGCGTGTCGTGAAGAGGCGGTAAACGGACCTCGTAAGCTCCAGCCCACCCGCTCAGTCGCCGCCAGAGAGGGGCGCGCTCGGCCGTCCTCCTGCCCATCATGTGCGCTTCTGAGCGATGATGCCTTGACATGCCGTAATTGCTGAAAATGCATATAAATACACAATTTTATCCCAACATGGTCAGTCCGGTATCGATAGGCCGACAGACCTATCTCTGCATACCGGTGAGGGGCATGTCCCAGAGCACGCGGCCCCCGAGTCCGGACGGCGTACACGTTGAACCCTTCCCCCTTCTCAAGTTCAATTTGCCTCTTTCACCATAGCCTCCATTCCAACCATGCATTTCTAGACCATGCATCTGACACTACCTGCACTCTGGCTGGCGACTCCCACCCTCGCCAGCTATGCCTTCTATGTCGGCAAGCACCTCACCGCGGACGGCGCCGTCCTCCTCGGCGGCACCGGCGAAGAGGTTTCATCCCACTGGCTGCAGCTCTTCCCCGCGGCCACGCACCCGCCCAACGCAACCGTCATCGTGGGCGTCACCGCCGCTGCCATCATCCCCGGCGAGCGCATCGCCATCCCGCAGGTGCCCCGCACGCACCGCTACCTGAGCATGGAGTACTCCGACTTTGAGGGCTTCCCCGCGCCGCTTACCAACGGCGGACTCAACGCCCAAGGCGTTGCTGTGCGCGACGTCTGGGCCACCAACCACGACGAGCTCGTCGCCATGACGCCCACGCCTCAGCGCGGCGTGCAGTATGCCGACCTCGCGCGTCTTGTCCTGGAGCGCGCCGACACGGCGCGCCACGGCGTCGAGATCATCGGCGACTTGATCAGGAAGCATGGATATGCGACCTATGGAGGCAATACACATCTTATTGCGGACAAGGAGGAGGGCTGGGTGGTGTGGGAGTTTGCGGGCGGCAAGGGACTGTGGGCGGCCGAGCGACTCGGTGCAGACGAGGTTCGCGTGCTGTATCCAGGATACATCGAGGATTTTCCTACCAATTACGCAAATACCACCGACTACATGGGCTCCGAGAATCTGGTCTCCTTTGCCGTCGAACAGGGCTGGTGGAGCGCATCCTCGGGCAAGCCATTTAACATATTCAACATCTACGGCGTGCAGGGCAACGTCACCGCCCGCGATGGCGGCTTCAAGTACATGTCGCAAGCAGACCTTAAGTCCGCCACCCTCGCCATGGCGCCCCTGACTGAGACCAAGCTCATGGAGCGCGTGCGCGACCCCCGCATCGCCGACGACCAGGCCGGCTACGGCCAAGTAGTGCGCCTGCACGCCGATACTCCCCCAGACCTCCTCCGGCTCTGGAACGCACCCACTGGCTCCGTCGCCGCGCCGTTCCTACCGTGGTGGCTGGGCGTCACCTCGGTGCCGCCCGAGTACGGCGCCCACCGGTACCTCACCGCCGGTGCCTCGGGCAGCTTCCTGCATCCCGACTTCCAGCTGCAGGAGGCGTCGACCTTTGCGGGGCGGCTGTTCAAGCGCGTGCTGTACTACATGTGCTCGGCGCCCGAGGCGTTCCTGCCGCTTGTGACACGCATGCTGGTCGCGTTTGAGGCGCGGTCGGTGCAGGACCTGGCGTGGGTGGAAAAGGCGGCGCGGGTGTTGCTGGATGGCGGTGATGCTGAGGCGGCCAGGGAGCTGCTCACGCACTATGCGCACACGCGCGCGGACAAGGCCTTGCAGCTGGGAAGGACCATGGCGGATGCCCTGGACGGCTATGTCAAGCTTTCCGGGCAGTGGAGGGACCCGGTTGGGAATGAGATAAATGATGGCGGGCAAGGGGCTGAGACCGTGAACTGCCTTGTGGGCTTTGATCCGGATAAGCCGCGGCCGGTACCGGAGGGACATCGATTACGGAAGCAGATGCGTTTTTGAGGTGGTTGAGCTAGAACCCCTTGTCTTTATAATCAATCTTGAACATAAAAACAGTATATTTCTCTAATTATCAGTTACATATTATTCCGCGAATTATCTCTAGCAAATTATTCCGCCCTTATCTCGTGCTCATTACTCGCCAATTATCTCGTGTGCTTATTTGGCGCTTTCGGGCAAGATTTGATGAACAACCGACCACACCACCTGCGACACAGTCGCGCCGCCAATCAACTTCATCACCGGCATGTTGACCTGCAACTCCTTCAGGAACCACTGACGCATCTTGACAGCCACGAGCGAGTCCACGCCCAGGTCGAGAATCTGCACCTCGGCCGGCACGGGCTGGTCGGCCGGCAGGCGCAGTAACTTCTGCAGCACCGTCTGAAACGCGCGAAAGATCATGTCGTAGCACTCCGCGGGAGGCGCGGCCTTGAGCACGTCCAGGCTGAGGTGGCCACCATTGTCCGACTCACCCGCCGCGCCATTCGTCGCCGGCGCCTGGCGATCGAGCAGGTAGTGACCAAACTTGGCGTCGTACGCCCATGGCGGCACGACCTTGTCGCGGGCCACGTCGACGTAGCGCAGGCTCGACGACACCTCGGGGCCGTGCGGCGAGGTGCTCGGGCTGGCGAGGACCGACTCGGCAAAGATGTAGCAGTAGTCGCTCTCGGAGATGATGTCGTACCCGAGCGCCTTGCTGCGCGCGATGATGTTGTGCCCCGTCCGCGTGATGAAGCCGATGCCGCTGACGCCCGTGAGGTTGATGACCGAGGCCGCAAGGCCGCGCTGCCGGCGCTGGTGCGCCAGGCTCACCATGAAGCTGTTGGCCACGGCGTAGGCAATCTGCCCCGTGTTGCCGGCGATGCTCACCAGCGACGAGTAGAGGATGAAGAACTCGAGGTCGTCCTGGCCAAACGCTTCATCGAGATACCGGCTACCGTCCACTTTCGGGCCCAGTGCTCGGGTCATCTGCTTGTACGTGAGGTCCGCAAACAGGCTGTCTTCAATGATCAAAGCGCCGTTGGCAACGCCGCCAATCGGGGGCATGGTTGCCCTGATGGCGGCAATTGTCTTTGTCAGGGCCGCCTTGTCCGTAATGTCACTAGATCAACCTTCGTTAGTTGCGCTCCCTTGATCGTTAGACTGAAGAGAAAAACTTACAGTGCAAATGTGTTGACGACTGCGCCGTACTTGGTTCTCTGCGCAGCAATCCACGCCGCGTCCACCTGCGGGTTGCGACTCGACAATGCAAAATGTCTTGCGCCACGCGAGATCATGTAAGACACGGTAGAAAGACCCAAGCTCCCCGCCATCCCGACGAGGAAATACGTCCGGTCAGGATTGAAGTGACATTCCTCCAGAGCGGGCAACACAGTTGCGCGGACAGGCAGCTCGTTGACCCAGGAGATGGTCTTGGCCGGGACGCCAAAAGCAAATGACTGTGGGAGGTCTTGAATCTGAATCATGCCATCAGCGCCGAGGTCGCTTTTCTCTGCGGCCAAGGAGGTAGTCTCGGCCACGGCGGCCTTGAGAGCCTCGTGGACGGCCTGGTCCTCGATTTTGCGGTACTTGAAGCTCTGCGGGCGAACAAAGTCGCTGGCGGTCAGCACCGCGACGCCAGACGGGACCTGAAGCCCCATGGCGGCCAGACTGTCGCCGGAACCCGTCTGCGTACAGTCGACGCACATGAGCGTATCTGGCTGCACCAGCTTGCTGAGCTGGCGAGTCGAGCCGTGGCGCGCAATGAATTTCCAGCCCTGCTCCTGGATCTCGTCGACGCGGGAGGCGTCGCTCGTCGTAAAGATGAACTGCACGCCAGACTTTCTGCCAGCGTCGACGAGGAGCTGCGTCAGCGAGTTGGACGCCTCGTGCACGACGGCGCTCGTGAACGGGGGGCACCGCTGCATGATTGTCGCGGCGAGGAAGAAGGCCTGCAGCCGCTCGGGAAGCGAGCGCTCTTGGTCGTCGGAAAGCCCGATGAGCGGCACCAACGTCGCCTTGTGCACCGAGACGCGCGACCGGTTCTCGGTGGACAGCGCGGCAACGACGCGACCGGTCTGGACGTCTGTGCCCGTCACCGGATACAGGTATCCGAGCGCAGGGACATGCACAGCTACAGATTGCGAATAGCGAACAATGATTTCTGTTTCCAGCTCATTGGCCGCGAGGTGCGACGAAGGCAGAGCCGCGACGCGCAGTCTCTCGAGAGACAGCGCTGACTTATCCGCAGAAAGCTGCAACACGCCTGCTGTCGGCTGCAGCTCAACCTGCACGTGGCGCTGCAGAGAGTTGTAGCCCAGGTCGAGCTGCTTGTTGGGAAGGTAGCGCGAGATGAATGGCTGCCCGTTTCGCAGATGAAGTTCCGGCTCGTGAGACCACAGCGTTTTGCTGGCATTTTCCATCGAGTGCAGATTGTGTAGTCTCAGGACCGCGTCGGATATGAACTGGCCTGCGCCGGAAACATTGTCCTCGATGTCCAGGATCTGGGTGACGAGATGGGAGCATTCCTCAATCAGACAACGAAGCGTGCCCTTGATCATATTGGCGTAGGGGTTGCGTCCTTGGGACCCAGACACGACCCAAATGAGTCGATCCGAGCGTGTAGTCAGCTCTTGCAGCTTGGTAAATGTCTTCTCGCTCAAGTCGCGGTAAAGGTCACTGTCAAGCTCAGTCAAGCTAAGCACGAATGCTTTCTCGGCCACGGCAGAATCGTCGAGATGCGCGAGGCTCTTGACAGTCTGAACGACTTGGCAGAAAGGCGCCAGCAGAGCTCTGATCTTGCCAATGAGGTCAACCGTCACCGGTGTCTCCCCACCAATGATGATGAGCGTGGGGATCTTGGCACCGACCGAGACCATCGGCTGACGAAGAGCGTCGACTGCGTCGTTGGTGGCCATTGTTGCCATGATGGAAAAGCGACCGCTCTTGGAGGAGCCCTGGGCCTCCATCTTGGAAAAACCGGCTTCGGTAAATCGGCCGCTCCACAGCTCCGAATCTCCCTCCAAGCTGGCCAAGCTCTGATCGAGCTCATGGATCAAAAGTAGGTATCCGCCCGGCCGAAGAAGGTGGCGGAGGAGCTGCAGAGTCCCCTTGTCCGTGGCGTGTCCGTCGCGCAGGACCACCACGTCGTATTCGCCGCCGGCGTTGGTTTCCAGAAAAGACGGGCTTTCGAGTTGCAAGGATACTCGCTTGAGGCTGGAACCATCATCGCGCGAGTCGGCGATTGCGTCAAACTCGGACTCGGCGATACCATCGAGCGCGTAGGACGACAGCCTGCCGCCAATCGCCGTGAAGACATTGAGGACCTCAGATGCATTGTCCGTCACTCTTTCCAGGATGCGGGCCTTGGGGTATCGATCCGTAATTTGCTTGAGCAGGCCAGCAACGATATGGTAGCTGCGCGCCTTGTCTGCAGTGTAGCCACCAGCGGTAGGCTTGTTGACTGAGATAGCGCCATTCTCTGAATGGCCATTGGAATGAGCGTGGCCATTGACTGAATGGCCATTGGTAAGAACGTCACCATTTGTTGAATGACCATTGGTAGATATGTGGCCGTTGGTTGAACCATGTCCATTGGTCGAAGCATGACCATTTGTGAGACCGTTGGTAGAGTGTCCGCCGTTTGCCAAACAGTGACCATTTGTCAAGTGACCATTCTCCAATGAAGAATGTTTGTTGGACACTGCATTTTCAGCTTCGCCATAGTTTTGAGACAATGTGTTTGCGAGCAGCTGTTCAGGCACATCCGGTAGCAATGCAGTGCTCGGTTCAGCCACGCAAAGCACCATGTCAGCAAACATGTGCTTGTCATCGTCAGCAGTCACTGGTGCTACCGGCGAGACCGTGAGACCTTCGACCTTGAAAATGGACTCCTCCTGGCCCGCAATGCCGACTTCAATATCACCACAGATTGTCCTCCTGTCCAGCATGTAGGAGACTGCGTTGAAGGCAAATCCACCCGCAGGTATAGCGCCACTAGACAGAGCCGCTGGGCTAATGGTGAGTCGCTTGATCGTGGTTGGCACATGCAGGGTCTGTAGCCTTCCATCGCCAGGGTAACTCAGCGCGGCAAAGACTGCTTGAAAGGAGACATCCAGGACCGCGGGATGAAGCGGCACCCAGCTGGGCGAGGTAGCCGGGTCTGTCGAGGTGGGTGCGGCAATGGTGCCATTGGCCCAATTTGTCGTCCTCTGCAGAGAAGCGATGCTGCGAAACGCGCCGTTGTAGTTGTACCCAATCGTGCGCAAATTGTCGTAGAAGGTATCGACATCAATCTCGTTGAGCTGGCCGGAGCCCAGAGCGCTGTTTGGCAGCGTTCGCGACGCATCGCCGCCGACAAAGAGCTGCACCTTTCCGCTGGCAATGCTCGTCAGGCGGCTGGACGACTTGCTCGTGGCGGCATCGCAGTGGTAGGTCGCAGAGAGGATCGATCCTTCGTTGGGCGACGACGTGACCTCGACCCCGGACAGGTAGAAGAGCGTCTCTGTAGACTTGTCATCGTCCAAGGCCAGCGCTCTGTGGATCGTCGAGTCGTGCAGCTCGATGAGTCGGACCTGCAGGCCCAGAGAACCGGCAGCGATGGTGGCAGCCTCGGCGGCCATGATGAGGAACATGGCTGCGGGAACCAGCGTCTGGCCTTGAATTTGATGTCCCGTGAGCCACGGGATCTCCTCGGTGGAAAGGAAGTTTTTCCAGCGATATTCTGCGTCACCACAGGTGTTTGTTCGGACACCGAGAAGAGGATGGCAAGGAAGCTCCCTGAACCGGTGGGCATGGGATTCTCGCGACTCAAACTCATACGAGTGCGTGTGGTCCCAGGGGTAGGAAGGAAGATTGCGAAGCGATACCAGCTTGTTCTGAGAGAACTGGGCGGCGTAGCGATCGAGCTGCAGACCGGACTGGGCCGAGACGGACCAGAACCATCCAAAGAAGGCGGACAGGGCATCAACGTCGTCCACGGCACGGCTCAGCGTACCGCAATACGCCACCTTGTCGATTCCAAGACTCTTCAACGTCTCCAAAACGGGTGACTTGAGGGCAGGATGGGGGCCGATTTCAGCCAACGTTGGCAGCGCATCCTGGTGCTCCGTCTGCGAGGCCGCGGCGACAGCCTCGGAGAACAAGACTGGCTGGACCATGTTTTGGATCCAGTACTCACTGGCGATATTGCTCGTGGCCGACATGACGCTCCCGCCATACACGGATGAGAACCACGGAACATGCTGCGCGGGATTCAGCACCGTGATGTTGCAAGCCGCCAGCGCCTTGCGGTACAGCCCGACACATGCCTCCATATGGTGCGAGTGGTATGCCGTCTGCACGCGGAGGACCCTGTTGAACTTGTCTTCGTCCTCGAGCACGACCGAGACCTGGTCAATGACGTCGCTGTCACCCGAGAGCGTGACGCTCGTGGGCGAGTTGTACGCGGCGACGGAGATGCGGCCCAACACGGCCTCATTCTCGCACAAGTCTTTGGCGTCGGGGTGCGTCATGCCCGCGGCGATCATTCCGCCCTTTTCGCCCTGCTGGCCCCTGGCTAGATGCGCGCATAGGCCGCGCGTGTAGGCAATCTTGACGGCGTCCTCGGCGCTCAGGAACCCGGCCGCGTAGGCCGCCGCGATCTCGCCGCTCGAATGGCCCAGCACCCCGTCAAAGTCGACGCCGGCGTTGCGGAGAAGATCCACCAGGATGATCTGGATCACGGTGCAGAGCGGCTGCGAGACGGCGCTCTCGTCAATCCGGGAGGCCTTCTTCTCCGCCAGGATCTGTGCCTTGAGTGACCACGTCGGCCGGTACGGGTCTGGCAGGGCAGCGAGCGCGGCGTCGAGGCGGTCCACGGTCGCCGCGGCCCGCGCCGACTTTTGAACCAGCTGGCGTCCCATGGTGGCCCACTGGGCACCTTGCCCGGTGAATACGCCGAGGAGGCGCTTCGGTTGAGAGACGGTGCGGATGATGGAGCTCTTTGGCCCGCCCGCCGGCTGCTTCAGGACACTTTCCAGTGTCGTGATCAGTGCCTCTGGCGTCGGGGCAGGGACAGCCAGTCTGAAGTTGAGCGCGCTCCTGTTCTTGAACAGTGTCCATGCCAGGTTACCCATGTCCACGTTGGGATTCTGGCCGACATGGTCAATATAGCGCTGCACAAGCTTCCGCAGAGTCTTTTCCGACGACGCCGATATCAGAAATGGGAGAGAATTGGCTGGCGTACGGGGAGTGGGCGGACTGGTGCTGGTGGGTGACAGACTTGGCGACGAGGACAGGCTGGGCTTGGATACGACTTCCCGGAGTGCATCGTCGCCATAGCTGGGCAGGTAGCCTTCGAGGATAACATGACAGTTGGCGCCTCCAAACCCGAAGCTGTTGACACTGGCTCGGCGCACGCCCCCGTGTAGCTCGGGCCAGGGGATGGCCTCGGTGGCAATCTGCAGGTTGCCATAGTATGGTTTTAGTTCGGGGTTGAGCGACTCGAAGTGCAGATTCGGGGGGATAGTCCCGTTCTGAATCGCCAGTGACGCGCGTAGCACTCCTGCCACGCCCGCCGTACCCTCAGTATGTCCGATGATTGTCTTGACGGAGCCAACATAGAGTGGTTCTAGTGGTGCCTGCTCGCCTCCCGTTTCAGGAAAGAAAGCATCGTGGATGGCTCTTGATTCGACCTTGTCACCGGCCTTTGTGCCTGTGCCGTGCGCCTCGAAATATTGGCACCGATCCTCTGGCTTGCTAAGATCGAGGCCCGCGCGGCTGTACACGTCGCGAATGAGCCGTGTCTGCGCCTCCGGGTTCGGCATCGTGATACCCGGGGTGTGACCGTCCTGGTTGACACCTGTCTCGCGGATGATACACTCGATGTGGTCCCCGTCGGCAAGCGCATCGCGCAGCGTCTTGAGCACGACGACGCTGATACCTTCGCCGCGCGCGTAACCATTTGCGCGCGCGTCCCACATGTGGCACTTGCCTTGGGGTGAGAGCATGTCAAGATTTGTCTCGGAGATGAAGGGATCGGCGGAGAGTATGAGGTTCGTGCCGCCCGCGACGGCCACGCGTGAGCTCCCCGAGCGCAGCTCCCGGACGGCCAGGTGGATGGCGACGAGACTCGACGAGCACGCCGTATCGAGCGTCATGGAGGCGCCGCGCCAGTCAAAGGCGTGAGAGAGACGGTTCGAGAGAATGGCCCTCGACGTTCCGGTGGCGGAATACGTGGGTGTGCACTCGCTGTCGAAGAAGACCATGGTGGTGTAGTCGGCGCTCATGACGCCAATGAAGGCACTTGTGTCCGAGCCTCGTAAACTTTCAATGGGAATGCCGGCCTGTTCAAGCCCCTCGTAGGTTGTCTCCAGCAGTAGACGATGTTGCGGATCCATGGATTCGGCTTCGCCAGGCTGGATGTTGAAGAACTGGGGGTCAAACTCCATAGGGTCGCTTTCCAAGGTGTAGGCCGCCATGACATTACTGGCACCGTGATGGTGCCCATTCTCGTGGTAGAAGCCCTTTGCATTAAATCGCTTGACTTCTTGGGATAGATCGCGGGGAGCCTTCAACAGCTCCCACAGCTTAGACGGCGATGTTGCGTCGCCGGGGAAGCGACAGGCGCTGCCGACAATGGCAATTGGCTCCATCGCGTCCTTGGGTATGATTCAAACTGACAGTCAAGAAGGAAGAGAGAAAGAAAGTAAAATTAGGTAAAGAGTGCAAAATGTACTGGATGGTAGAGTAATCACAGCACGCAGGTAGCTTAAGTAAGGACGTCATCGAGGTGCTCCGTGAGCACCTGAAGCGAGTAATGAAGACGCTATGTGCAAGGCAATACGACGAAATCCCGTCACTACTACGACCTGAAACTAAAAAGCATACTCTCAGTTTCAGCCCTCACCGTCGATTAGAAACGCTCGAGACTGGAGTAGGGGCGAGGAGCTTATTCGCGCAATGACGCCGCAGCCCCCGAGGTCGTGTTATGCAGCCTCGTCTGAAATGTCAATGCGGGAGCTATTTCCAGAAGACGAGCTAGTCCCTGTTTGAACCTACGCTTCGGCTGCGGCGTCTTTTGCATACTTGCAGGGACGAAACGCCTCACCGGACGACACTCGAGCTGACTTGCTCCGGCATTGCGCCGCCGTACTAGGATTTCCGCCCACACCGCTCGAGAACCCGGAATCCGCCGGCGAGGTTATCTTGATAGGCTGAAATTACCATGATAAGCCGAAACGCGAATGGCGACACTGTGAGTTTGGCAGAGCGCAGAATACGATTCGCAAGAGACTTGCGAATGACAGATAACACGGGTCAGGAAGCTGCAATTTCTGCGCCTCAAAGTTTACTATACTATATTAGTTTGTCGAGGTAAAAGGCTGAATTAATTGTCCCGATTTAATTAGTTCTCAATAAGGCAAAAGGCTAAATAATTGTCCCGATTTAATCCACCAGTGTCCAATCACTGGCTGTACAATGAAGCTACCACGTAGCCGAGATTAGACGTGATCCGACCAACGCAACTAGAGCAAGTACACCAACTTGAACCCTCGCACCTGGCCTTGCCGTATCGCGTCAATGCCGGATGGAATGGCATCAAGCCCCCCTTCCATGATGCGCATTGGATGTGCTTTCAGAACATGATCGCCTTCGGCTAGCACACCCTCGGCCACTTCGGCCAGCTTTGTGCCCCATGTCAGCAGTGCCTCGTCGGGTTCGCAGCCAAACGGCTTGGGCCAGACCGAGCCACGTCCCATGAGGGTCAGTGTAAGGATCCAGTCCAGCTTCACCGCCTTGCGACTGACCAGCGTCGGGTCAAACGGATCCAGCGCCGTGTAGCGGCCGCCGAGGCGTCCCATGGCCTCCTCGCACGCCAGGACACTCGACTGCGTCGTCACGCAGTCAAACGCAAAGCTCAGCGCGTTTTTTGTCAGGTCCCGAATCTCCTGGACGTGGCTTTCCGAGTGGTAGTCAAACGCGGCCACGGCACCGTACTCCCTGGCCATGTCGAAGTGCTTCGCCGAGCAGACGGCGATGGGCTTGTGCCCGGCGCGCCGGAGGAATTGCAGCGCCATGGTGCCTGTCGCCGTCGCGCCGCCGTAGATGAGCACCCAGTGAGACTTTTCCGCGGTCGCGGTGAGCGAGCCCGGCAGCTGCAGCGAGTGGAAGAGCGCGAAGCCGGACGAGAAGATGGCGTTGCCCATGGAGGCGGCCGTGGCAAAGGACATGTGGTCGGGCATCTTGATGAGGATAGAGCCGCGACAGGCGGTGAACTGGGTAAATGCGCCAACGCGCGGCCGGCGACTGTCGCACCCGTCTGTACATCCAAAAACGCGGTCTCCGACTTGCAGGCTTCGCCAGGCAGGCTGGGCCGGCCCGACAGCAACGACGGTGCCGGCAAAGTCGAGACCCAGCACGTTACCAGGGTTGAGAAACCCGGGCATCATCTTGGTGTCAACAGGGTTGAGAGCAACAGCAGACACCTGAACTAGGACTGCATCGGGCTCAATGTCTGGCAGCGGGATGCTCTCTGCCACGACGACGCTGCCATCCTCGGGGCCGACAACGACGGCACGCTGCGTGGTTGGTACAGTGGTCATGTCTGGCGTGTTTGTAGCTGCGAATAAGAGTTGGTAAGTGAAATGAGTCAAGTCACGTAATAGCTGGGGAATCATCTTACCAAGATAAATATGCGCAGTGTGGTTGATTGCAAGTGGTTCTGGTGTCGTTTCTGCAAGGATTCCGGATTGGCAGTAAATTGCGACAGCGTGAAAACTTGGAAATATCCCCAAGTGAGCAAGATATGTTTCTGCCTGCCTTTACTTGTCATCTTGTATTTTTCCTCCCAAGTCTGCTATATTTGGAATGGCCTGCATCGCATTGTCATGGCCGTGCATCTGATGCATGAATGTGGGCCATGCGGACAACCATGCGCGCCCCTCCGTCACAGGTCGAAACTTTAAGGAAAATCTGGTTCCGGCACGGTGGCGATACGCATTGACATGCGGACCAGTTGATTCATTTCCAGCCGGATCAAGGCTGGCTGGCCTGTCAGGATGAGCGCAAGTATCAGCCGCGCAGGGATTGGCTGCCTTCCCCCACGCGGGTAAGACCGAGGCGAGAGGTTCTATACCAAGGCCAAGGAATATTCGCTGGCAACAAAGACCCTGATCAGAGTGGTTCAAACATTTCCAGCCGTTACGAACGCCATTACTTCGTCCTGCTATTCCTGTCGAAAACATGGCGATCCACGCGGCCTACATCTTCATCGCCGCCACGCTCATCGCGCTCTACGTCGCTCGCCGCATGAGAGAGCAGCATGCTCGCCAAAAACTCGCTCGTGACCAGGGCTGCGAGCCGCTCACCACGGCCATCAACAAATTACCCTATGGACTAGATCGCAAGTGGCAGATTGTGACGCACCGGGGCAACATCCTCGACGACCTCATCACCACCCGCTTCGCCGAACTCGGTTGCTACATCTACACCGACAACCAATGGGGCAGTCCGCCCATCATCTGCGCCGAGCCGGCCACCATGAAGGCCGTCCTCAGCACCAAATTCCGCGACTGGGACATGGACAGCAACCGCTACCCGGCACTTGGTCCCTGGCTCGGCCGCGGCGTCCTCGTCAGCAGTCACCAGGGAAAGGGCAGCCTGTGGGCGACGGCGAGAGCGCTGCTCCGGCCCATGTTTGCCAACACGGCCACGTACAATCACGCTCTCATTGAGCCGAGCGTGCAGGAATTCCTGTCCATCCTGGGTCACCTCAACCAAGCGGGCGCACCCGACAAGGACCTGCTGCCCTTCATCCGCCGCCTGAACGTGGACATCATTACCACGGTCTTTTGCGGTGGCAGCATCAATGAGCAACAGTCTGGTCTTGCCATTGCCGTCGGCGCGGATGCAAAGCACAGAAAGCCCGTCCTCGAGGAAGCGTTTGACACCATCGAGCCCATCGCCGGCCTCCGGCTGCAAACAGGCAGCATGTACTGGCTCTTTACCTCGAAGCCGTTCCGCGATGGCTGTGAAACGTTTACGGGGCTAGCCGATGGATGGATCAACCGGGCCCTGTCCAAGAGAGACGAAAAGCCCGACCTGTCCCAAGACGAGGGCGCCGCGGCCAGAGAAAAGAACTTTACGGAAGAACTCGTGTCCAGCACAGACGACCGCGAGCTGCTGCGCGACATTCTCGTGCAGCTGCTCTTCGCCGGCATCGATACCTCGACGAGCATGCTGTCCTTTGCGCTCGTGGAGCTCGGCCGCCATCCGAGCGCGTGGGCACGATTGCGGGCCGAGCTGGCGGCGCACAACATGCTGAGCGGCGGCCCCGAGACCATCACCGCGGCGCAGCTCAAAGAGTGCGCGTTCCTGCAAAACATCATCAAGGAGACGCTGCGACTGTACCCGCCCGTGCCCATCAACTCGCGCGAGGCTATCCGCGACACGGTGTTACCCTCGGGCGGCGGCGCTGACGGCAGCAAGCCCGTGTTCGTGCCCAAGGGGACGTCGCTCAAGTACAGCCCATACGTGATGCATCGACGTGAGGACCTCTACGGGCCGGATGCGCTGCTCTGGAATCCCGATCGGTGGATTGGCCGCGCGCCCGGCTGGGACTATCTCCCGTTCAACGGCGGGCCGCGTGTCTGCATTGGCCGTAAGTACCCTACATTGACTTGCCTGCGGTGCTATCGAAAAAAGACTAGCAAACTGACACTGGGTAGAAAAATTCGCTCTCAGCTCGAGCGCATACGTGCTGGCACGGCTTGCGCAACAATTCGACACGTGTACGGCCCTGCCCACTACAGGGCCTATCGACTCCAAGCTCGGCGCGGTGCTTGTTCCCAAAGCTGGCGTGCCGGTTTCTCTAACAAATTCCACAACTTAGTTGTTGCGGGTATATCGAATTTCGACTGTTAATTACTAGTTCGGTTTAATTTAGTTCGGTTACATGGAATTGCCTAGTTCGTCCAGTGACTTGGTCTTGGCGCTTTTCGGCAGTGGAACTGCGATCCCATCTGAGGCTTATCTGTGATAGTATAATGTACAAGGGTTACCAAGTTTTCTGTATCCGTACTAGGGCAAATCATGGGCGCAATATAAAGCACCACGTCACCACGCACTAGTGTCGGTGCCCGCCACTTTTGCGCCTACAGTTATCATCGTTTTGCGCCGAGGATTTCATAGGACTGTTGTATTTTTATAAAAAAAAAAAAGCTCACTCTGGCCATATCGAACTCCCGAGCCAGCTACTCCAACGGGCCTAAATAATCATACACCAGCCTCACCCGTATGACCTTCTTGTCCTCATTCAGCACCTCCACATGCCGGACATAGCGCCTCTCACCCTTGACGTTTCGGAACCCATTAACTTGCTTCGTATTTGTGTTGATGTTGAGCTGAATCGTTTCCATCAAAATAACGCGGTCATCGTCCAGGAGCATGTCCTCGGTCAGCCACGTAGACGGCAGCTCGTCCCTTTTGACCCACCGCGTGCTGCCGCGAATCTTGCCAAAGATGGGAAAGTTGAGCTCCTTCCACGTTCCGTTGACGATGCGGTCTTCTTTGCTGTCGGGGAGCCCATTGCTCGACTTGCCGTGGATGACGATGTGGTCGACGCCGTTCTCATTCGTCTGCGTGACCCAGAGCTCCGCGCCCGACTTGACCAGCACCTTGCGCCAGAGCCAGCTCACGCCCTGAGCCTTGAGCATCTCATCATACGGATCAGACAGTGCAGCGTTCTAGCGATTAATTTGTCAGTATCTGGACTGTTCTCACTGCAGGAATGAAAACACACCATACGCCACCGGCCGGTCAAATTGCGAAGCGTGATACTCTCCGGTGCAGCCATGACTATGAACTGTAGGGAAAATTTCGGAATCGTCAAGCTTTGAATGATTTCAGCCCCGAAATGCGCTTTTCACTGTCCAAGCATGACTTATAAGCACGGCATGACCAAATCCGACCCGTGATTCCCAATCGGGAAGCGATAGCCGCCCGTCACCGCAAGAAAACTGGACGGAGAAAATTCCCGAGCGACGGAGTAGGCGCAATCCGAAGTCGATACTATTGTGACGTTCCAGAATGCGCATTGACGCTCTGACACGGTGAGAAGGTGGATCCTGGTGTGGAATTCAGGTATTACCAGCAATGCGTGGCCCCTGTTGCAGATGCCGGTGAGGCTGACAAGAGGAGATCGAGCGGTGGCGCTCTTTTGTGGATCTCGGCAATCAGTCGCCTGTGCTGTGATCAGACAGGTTGTGTGAGTCGAGTTACATTTCCTCGCAACCCAAGACAGTCTGTGCTCACAGCCCTACGAGGATGAGGATTCCGCCATATAGCTATTTTTAGCAACTCAGCTTAGTATTAACTATAGCTAGCTTAAAGATTAGGACAATATATTTATTTAGTAACTATTGTAACGGACTGGCCCCCAGAGGGGCTTCGGGGGCAACCAGCCCCGCAGCCGTCAGTGGCCTTACGGCCACAACCCTCTTGACCACAAGGCCAAAAGGATTCGTAACAACAATACTAACCTGTTGTTGTCTGGTTGCACCTATAAGGGGCCCCCCTTCAGGGGGCTCCGCGCCGGCCACTCTGGAAGGACCAGGGCGGGCTCCATAGCCCAGCCCTTAACATACCCTCTCTCTCCCCGGCGCGCCCACAG